TGTATATAGGAGTGTATGTATGTTCGTGGCAATGCAATTAAAGCGAATAGTTCCCTTTCAGGATAGTAAGATCTCTTTTTATTTTCTGTGGTCTATTACTTTTACAAAAGCTCACATCTCGTAACAAATACAGGGTTTCCCAATAGGAAGTGTTATTCGATGTTCCAACAAAAATAGTATTTTTTGTGATAAATAAACAGTTGTTTATTTCAATGTAAAAAGGAAAATATGCCATTAATAATAGGAAAAAAAAAAATATCAACCAAAGGCTGCCACGGCTACACTTGGCGATCCGTATTCTTTTCAAGAAATCGGTAAATCACAAAGTGGCTACCATATACCCTCAATAGCTTCACGAATTCCACATGTGATGTCTTGAATCGACGTCGGCGTGTTGTCATAGATCTTGGTGGCCAATTGCGACCATTTCTTCGAGAGAGATTACACGGTCCGAAAACTTTTCCCTTAAAATGTCGATGGTTTCTTTGCTTGTGTGGCACGTAGCGCACATAAACATTGTCCAGATCAGATCAAATTTCGACCATATAAAATTGAATTAATAATTTCTCGATAGCGCAATCCCTTCCCTTAATTGTTGCTCCAGCCTCATTTTTGAAAAGTAAGTTCGAATGACCATAAGCGGCACCAACCAGTGACATCTTGACGATGAAGAGACTGTTCAACAATAATTCTTGATTATTCTGAGCCCCAGATGCGATAGTTTTGGATAATGACGTAGCCGTCGAGGTGGAATTCATCAGCCAAGATGATTTTTCGATCGAATTCTTCTTCATTTTCATGCATTTCAAGGACCAAATCAGTAAAGACACGACATAGTTGATGATCGCTCTGCCTGAGTACTTATATTAACTGAATTTCATAAGACTTAAGACCCAAGCCCTTATGCAAAATACAGTGTAATAGGGTTTTTGGAATGCTCAATCCAAAGAAAGACGAGGAATTTACAAACCTTCAACACTTTGGGCTGCAGCAGCAATATTTTCTTGAGCGACGTGCACGTCTTTTATTCTTCACATGACATGAACTAAATTTGTCAGAATTTTGGATCGGCGTCAGGCATCGGAAGCAATGAACCTTTTTGGTGGTACACTTGGCCTTGAATCTTGAATGTGGATTCAAAATTGCGACCATTTTCATTATGAACAATTTTTTTTTTTTGCTCTAAATGAGGTCATTTGAAAGCAAGACTTAAATTTACAAATTTTGCACAGAAATAACTTTGATTGAGATGTGTTTCCTGCCTAAAGCGTTTTCAAAGGTTTTAGTGGCGATATCAGTGATGGCAGTGAAATTACTTCCTTATGCGCAAAATAAATTCTCACTTTCACGTCGACCAATATTTTTTGCTCTTTCGCGAAGACTTGGCACTTTTTTGTAATTATAATTTTATTTCTTTGAAATTGTATATTTGATATCTAAATAAAAGATCCAAAAAAATCTTAGGTTAGGATAGTTATGTGAGTTTAGGAAAATTTTACGAAGGCATATGTAAAATATGTAACAGTAACAAATTTCAAAATAAATAATTTCAAATAATATCCGTAAGAAATAAAATATAGGCTTGTGTATGAAACTAATATCAACAACAATTTGTAAATATAAAAATTCATGGTTAAAACATAATGTAGTTGATCGAACCCTCAAACCCCTTTGAATGCACGCAAAAAATTTCATAAAAATCGGTCCAGCCGTTTAGAAGGAGTTCAATTAAGAACACGCGGACAGAAGATTTATAAATATTAATATTAAAATTTACCATTCAGTAAATTTTGTTACTATTTCGTATTCTGAGCTCACTGTTACCCTGTAAATTTTGTTACCAGCGAAGTAGGAGGTTACAGTAAATATGCTGTTTGATTTTGTGTTGTAAGTTTGAGAAAAAATGAAAAAACCAAATTGGGTAGGCATATTTTAGGCCTGGAATTCATTGAAGATAAAGAGAAAAAGGCGTATTTCAAGAAGTTCTAGAGAAAAAAAATACTTTTTTAATTTATAAGAATCCATCAGTTTATTTTTTTTTTTGTCGTCCAGGCATATTTTCTACAATTAGCTTCAAATATTTATGATTTAATAAACAAATTAATAAAACTTATTTATTTTTTGCGCACCGTCGTCCATTTCCCTGTGAATATTTTTCTTTTTTACTTTATCAACTGGCAAATGTAGATTTGACAAGGATGAAAAAAGCAGTGCTGCCAAAATTTTTTCAAACATTGTAACCAGTTCGCCAGAATACCGAATTCAATTTCGAGTGTTAAAAAAAATAACAAAATTTACTTTACGCGTAACAGTGAGAATAGGGCTGTGAGTGCAAATTATCGTTGCAGTAATTGACCTTGTGGCTTCTTTGTATTTGAGAATGAGTAGCAAGTAACCTTGATCCCAGCAAATTTATTTTTATGTGCATAACGGTAGATGTATGTACGTATTAACATAAGAGAGTGTGAATTGCAATCAACCCCATTCTGGTACACAAATAAACACACACACTACACTCGATAAGTGTGTCATCGAATATGGAATGCTGTTGCGTAAAATTTAATACCAATTGCATTTAGATTGGTATGTAAATACGTGTATGTACGTGTAAATACATAAATGCATTTCAAGATGTCAACAATTCACCATAATAAAAATCTATTCTTAAGCTTTCCAGCGTAGCAGCGAGAATTATTACTTCGCCTTAAGCACATATTGAAGTTCAATTATATAATTAAAAACTCTACGTATGTATGTCAATATATACATATGCATTTTCCGAGTTACTGTCAAAGGCTTAATGGCACAAGATGTCATCAATTTGAAGTTGATGAAATTTTGCAAACCCAAATGGCACAACTCGGCATACGTTATTCCAGTAGGTACTTACCTTCAAATTATGCAATTTTCGCTGTTTTTCTATGTACGTGTATGTATGTAAGTGAAAATGAAAGTTTTGTTTTTAAAAAAATATGCTTTCAAAACTCTAAAAGGCAAATGCCAAAATATTTTTGGCAAATACGCCCACTTTTTTTAATGGGCTCGGCACACAGATCGCAGCCGCTTTCGGTGAAATGTTAATAAATAGCTATGCGACTATAAATTATAGGTTTTTTAGGTTTTAACAACACACTGGGAGTCGTACCTTTCTACACAATTTCTTTGTATATTCTCGAAAACGTTGGACAGACGTTTTTTTATCACATAAAAACACACGTAAAACAGCACTTGCAACATGAGCATATGTAAGTATACAAAATGTGTTGAAGAAAAATCAAACAAAATGCAACAGCACAGAGCTGCCATGCGAAACGTTGTAAAACATGTTGACGTGTTTTGCGCTAATACGGCATTTCCACGACGGCCCAATTACGTGATTCGATCTCTCAATCGTAATACGCACTTCAAATACATGCCGAATTATTTAATTTGCCTTAATAATTTGCGTGAGCGTAAAAGTGGGTAATTTGTTTTCAATTACCATGCGAATCACGATCAATTCGATGCCTTCTCTAATTCTTATCGAAATTATACCGAAACCAAAGGACAAATCAAAACAAAAGAGGCGAAAATCATAAAAGAAATCGCTAATACACAAACATTTATTTGAAAACAGTCAAATTGCGTACCGTGTGAATAGGGTTAATTCGCAAGCTTCAAAAAAACAATTTTTACAGGCCTATTCTCACTGTTACTGGTAAAGTAAATTTTGTTACTTTTTTTAACACCCGAAATTGAATTTGGTATTCTGGCGAACTGGTTACAATGTTTAAAAAAAACTTGGCAGCACTGCATTTTTCGTCAATGTCAAATTACATTTGCCAGCTGATAAAGTAAATAAGTTCTTCGATAGATTTAGAATACATTTAGTCTCTTAAGCAGACCTTAATAATAGAATTTTGTACCGCTAAGTTTCATCATCTGATTGAAATTTAAAATGAGTGAGATTAGTAGGAAATTTGAAAAAAGTGTTTGAGGAACATTAAATTTTTATTATGGCAACTCTAGCTTAACATCTAAAGTAGAAAAAAAATAAACGTAATTTTGACTTTCTGTTTGTGTAGTGAGAACCGAGAGAGAAATTAAAGAAATACTTTTAGCTTTTACATACAATATATGAGGTAAACTAGTTTTGAATAATATATGTTTACAGTGAAATAATGTGCTTAGAAGTTGCATAAGTTGGTTTTGTAGAAGTGCAACAAAAGCTTATGCTTAACGGCAACTGAACACTCAAAATACAAATTTTCTAAATATATGAAAATTATTTAGTTTATTCATATGAGTGTTAAGGGTACATGTTTCCAACCGGGCATTTCGTATTGTTACGATTTTACTAAATCAACCTCGATTATTTTCCAAATCCTTCGGGTACGATCTCTGGATTGTTAAATAAAACTCGCCAACTTAATTTGCAGTTTCTTTCTTTATAAAGAATTAATCTAATGTCTTTTATTTACTCCGTAATTCACAATACAATTACAATACACTCTACTATTTACAATCACTATCATCAACTTGCACTATTCACTCTACTTAAATGTACTCTCCAACGTGTTTACTTTACGACTTCACTGATGTTAACGCCAACGAGTTTACTTTATCACTAACTTGACTTGCAGCTGAGTGTCGCCTTTATATAGCAGTCGGCTGCTCGCTTGTTCGCTATGGAAGGTTCTTGTTTTATCGTTTCTAGAACGTACTAGTTATCGGCTTCTCTCTTTCATCTGACATTCGCCTCGCATTTTCGCAACAGTATGTAATGTAAACATGAACGAAACGTTGTATGCAGAGTTGCATTAAGAAGCAGTTACCTTTAAGGAAATTTATTTTAAAAAACTATCATTGAAATTTATTTTAGGCTTTCGTATTATTTTTTATTTTCCAAACGGTTTTCAAGAACATAATTTGCTCAGCTGTTGAAATAGATTTTTACATAAAAAAGAACATGCGCTTTAGGTATTCTAATTGGAAGTCGTTTACATAGATGTCGCCTAACTCACTACGCTCAAAGTTAGTCTTTGTGAACTTAAAAAGATTGCAAGCAATTGCAAACACTCTTAAGAGAAAAGCAAACAAAATTACAACAGAGTAGAAAATTTTAATAAAAATGTGAAATCATAAAATTTTTTTGTATTTTCACAATCTAAAGCAAGCATAAATAATATGGCTTTTCTGTGTCCAGTGCGCATGCGGCGCGATAAAAAGAAAGGTAGCTGACCATATATAGAACGCTAAGCTGGCTATGCGGCGATTAGTAGGAAAAGCTATTAAATTTATTTAAAAAATTACAAAAGTCATGATTTAAATTCATATGTATTAAGTATAGCTCTTTGAGTATTTTATATATAAATATAGTTTGAAAACTGCGCCAATAGTTTACATGTTTTATAAACAAAAGACTCAAGTCACATACTCGTTGACATTTTTTTTTGTTTTTTTTGTTTGTTTTTATTTAAATTCAATGTTTAACAAATACCCCCCTTGTGTATATTCTTTTAAGCCACCAATGCGAATATTGAACGCGATTTGCCATTGCCTGGCGCTGGTCTAGGTCGCATTACCGGCTCGTCCAGCATTGAAACACTCGTACGCGTTGGCATTGAGAAGGAGCACGGTCTTAGTCCAGATTCTAAAATGGTTGTTTTGCATGATTTCACACCGTGTGTGGATGATGAGCTGGAAGTCAAGCGCGGCCAGATTGTGAATATTTTATATCGCGAAAATGATTGGGTCTATGTAATTGGCCAGGATACACGGCAGGAGGGCTTCATACCGCACTCATATTGTGCGCCATACAATACACAATTGGCTGATCTTGCCATAAAAAAGAAGTTACCACGCGAACAGAATGTCAATGCGACGCTAGAGCATAGCCAAGAGAATATGCCACTTTTGAGTGCAGAAAGTAAAATGGAATTAATTGATGATGTCAGTGCGGTGAATGGTGTCGCAAATGCCAATGGTGTTGTACCAGCTGGTGGCAATAGCACTAACGCAATACCCATTTGTGCGCCAACCAAAAGTGCTGAAGTCAGCTTACTACTCGAACCGGAGTGTACACCCTTTCACAAAGAACCCAGCGGTCGGTATATTGTACTTTACACATTTATCGCACGCGATGAAAATGATTTGTCTGTGGAGCGTGGTGAATTCGTTACGGTTTTAAATCGTGAAGATCCCGATTGGTTTTGGATTGTGCGCAGTGATGGTCAAGAGGGTTTCATACCCGCCGCATTCGTATTCCCCGCTGAGAGTGTACTCCAAACGCAACAGAAAATGTTGAATGCATGCGGTCCGGCACAAGATGGTGTTGGCGGTGGTGGTGGTGTTGGTGGCGGCGTGATTGGTGCCACTAATGTCAACAATGCAATACATAAATCACAAACACAATTGAATTTAGAGTTAACTGCGGCCAATTTGAATAGTAATTTGACTTCATTGGGTCAAACGCTAACAACTTCAGCGGGACAGCTGGATGCGGTATGCATTAATACTTTGCAACAACAAAATTCAGCACAGCATCAGCAACAGCAACAGCAGCAAATTGGTGGTATCAGCACTGATGATCTACGCTACCATGGCACTGAATTGGTTATGTTGTACGATTATAAGGTAAAGTTATAACGGTTTATATAGGAAAAATTAAATAGTGTAAGTGTGCGTTTCTTGTTTCCAAACAATTGTAGGCTCAAGCGCCCGATGATTTGAATGTACGTCGTGGAGACTGGATTTATGCAGATTTAAACAATCAGACTGTCGACGGTTGGTTGTGGGCCTACGCACCGAAAACACGCAAATATGGTTTTATACCGAAGGCATATGCTCGCCCACCGGCCATGACTAGCCTTTAAGTGGCTTAATCTATGTTAACGAAAATACATTTTAATGTCTTCCAGTAGATGATATTTCTTTGAAAAGAACTTGCCTACAATAAGTGTCTTAGAACTAAGTGATTACATGAAATAAAAATGCTATTTTTACACTTTTAAGCTATTTTATTTTACAATACTTATAATTTTAAGGAAATAAGAAATAATGTATACTTCAATATCGTTTTTTTCTAATATTTCTCTAACTCAGTAGCAAAATTATGCTATGATAAGGAAAATATCGGAATATATATAACATTTTTAACTATTAATTTGAAAACATTTGTGTTTACTTTGTTTGAAAATTTGTGTACAATATAATGTCGTTTGTTTAAACTAAAGCACCTAAAGGTTTACAAGGAAATAAGTTATATTTGTTACACATCCCCTAAAAAAAAAATAACTAATATCATATTTTCGAGCACGGAAATAGCTTTGATTTCGCGAACTACAATTGAATATCTTGAGATTATATCTCTTTATATTACATTTTCATTTTAATTCCGCAGAAGAACTCCTAATTTTAATAACAAACTCGAGCCTGGCCAGAAGATTCATTTTGCCATTTTTGCAGCAGAATATCTCTGTTTGTTTTTCTTTACATTTTGCTGATTTGGTTATGCCATGCATAACATACTTAATAATATTATATAGTTTTTCGCTGTAAAAATATTTTAAATATCTTATGCTTTAAATGTAACCGAGAATTTCGGTTTGAACTAATTTAAGGAGCACCCTGATGCACAATAGCACAGTTCGGACAATTGGCAGACGCATTTCTGGAAAAAAATAATGTTATTTATTTCTATACTCTTTTGAAAATTAATTTATAATGTAAGAACTAAAATTTCCCCTTGACTTACTTCAAGGCAGTTTTGAGGTGCTCTTTCTCCGCGATTTCATCACGCAGTTTTTGTTGTAAATTTAATATCAATTCGTTTTTGCTATTCACTTGCGATTTTAGATGAGCTATCGTCTCCTCTTGCGCTTCAAAAATAGCCTACAACAAACAAACAAAAATGTAATATAAATATCTAAATTATGCACAATAATTTTTTAATTAAATAGTTTCCCTACCCTGCACTCCTCCATCGATTCAGAATATGATGGCGGTTCGTCTAAGCAAAAGAACTCACGTACAAGTTTACATTTACGCAACTCCTCTTTGGACATAATGGAGTTGACGAATATTTGTAGACCTTGTACCCGATTATCAAGAAAGACGGCATTGAAATTATCACCAAAGATTTTCTTGCGTGGCAGCAAAAGTACGATATTTGGAAATAGCTGCTTAAGTTTTGTATTCAAACGCACAAAATCGGTGTATCGTCGCAGCACAAGCCAACAATCATTTGTCATTGGATTCTCTACACGCAATTTGTACACTGTAAAGCGCGCACGTTCCTCCATAACTTCATAACCGATTATTGGCACACGCATCACAGTGTTTGGTTCATTTGTGGCGGGGCTATTGGATGACAGCGTTAAAGCGCTACTAGACATTGCACTTGTGCGTTGAGAATAGCTTGTGCTTGAATTCAAGCTACACTCACTCATACGTCGGCGGGTCGGTGAAAGTGTGATGTCATACGTGCTGTTGTTGGCGCCGTACGCCGATTGTGAAAGGTCACGATGTGAGCGAGCACCGGATAGCATATTACTGTTGGTGGCTAATGTCTTTGGACGTTGTGAAGGATCGATGGCTTTTAAATTAGTTGAAACTTGGTGTCGACTACTCGCTGTGGGCGTCGGTGCGGCAGAGCTATCGTCTTGATAACTGTGCGATGAAATGGACTGTAAGCAAACCTCTGATTTAGCACCGATCAAGCCACGCCCTTCTGTATCTGCTGCATTACCTGTACAACTTTTTAGTAATGCACGCAAGTCACCGTCGGATTTGGTGCGCACCACATGTGCGAGGCTTTCAACCGTATCGTCGCCGGTAGTTAGTGGATGACGTAGTTCCGGGTTGGAATGTACAGCGCGATCAAGTAAGAAGTGTTGGTTTTTTAAGTTGCGTAGTGTATGCAAACTACTTGTTTGTTTCAAAATGGCAGTATTATTAACTTTTGATATATTGTCAATATTGTCAGTACCACAAGAAGAACTAGCTGTTGATAATAGCTTGCGTGGCGATGTATGGGATTTTTTAAAAATCGTCTGTCGCACGCTAGCTGTGGAATTTTGTTGACTCTCTCGTTTTTTAATTGCACGCAAAGACATTGCAGTTACTTGATATTTGTTGTGCCGTTGGACGGTTTTGGTATGGGGAAGTAACGTATTGGGAACTTTGAGGTTGAATATTTTTCATTAGCCCAAGCATTACTGCTATTCTGCTAGGCAAACATTTAAATTATCAAAAGGAAAAGCACAATGAAGCACACTTTTTAAAATATGTAAATGTTAAAGTTTCACGAACTAAGGAAATATACCAAAAACGGCAGCAATGTCCTCCAAAAAATCCGTCAGGAAATCTTGACGTCTTTGTTGCTTGTTTTTCTTTTTTTTTTGTTGTTTTGGATGACTGGATTGCGTTTACATATTTTGACATTTTTGAGTACTCCAAGAAACGGAATTCAAATAACATTACAAGGAAAGCAAACGCATTACCGCGCTTCTAAAAAATTTTTTGAAATGAACGAATTTGGTTTATATTTTCACTACTTTTAAATTAATAATACTAAATACACATACATACATGATATATTTGTTGATAAAAACTGACTTATTTAATAAAATGTTTCGAAATTTAAACTTTTTTTTAATACCTTCAAATACATCTCTGCAGTATTTGAAAAACCCTGAAGTACGAATAACATCAAAAACATAATTAAAAGAAAATTTTTGTGATAACGCCAGTAACGTTAATTGGCTTGCATTTGAATTCTGTTTGAAAAGACAAGTAAAACTCGTTTAGTGTAAGTGCAACGTGCAACCCCATTCTCCTCATATTGCACCTAAAGATAAGCCGATTACAACAAGTTGAACAGTGCAATCGAAGCAGCAACGGTAGCAGTGAGGTCGTGAAGTCGAAAGCATTAAGTGCATTTCAGTGTGTGCTGCTACTTACGAAGGCGGCAACACAAATGCAATTGGATATTTAAAGTATGACAAATCCAAAAATAAAAAACTCCAATAAAAGATCCACTGAGGCCGTTGTAAATGTGCAACATCAACAAAATAATGATGGAACTGAATTAATGAATGTGCTACATAATTCTGATGATGATGTGGAACTGAATTTGGATGGTAAGCAAAAATTTAGTTGGTACAAGCAGTAGTAACTTGGATTTACAATATGTATGTATACAAACACTTTGGTTATGCAGATTACTCTTTTGGTGGCTCATCCAATTCGGAGGATGTGGATTTGGAAGAAGATGAAGCGAGCACCTGTTCATCATTTAGCTTACAAGAATGTATAAACGAATTTCGTGCTCGCCGTATACGCCGTTTGTCTACGCAGAGTCGTGAAGTTACGCAAATCGAAGACCGGGCTAATAGCAATTTACCAGATAAAACTGAAAAGAAGACTCAACCCGACCCAGCAGATGCCGACTTAATTAATCAGAACCGTTGTAATAAGGAACAGGAGCGTAAATGCAAGCCCTGTCGCGATGGTTTTTGCTATTGTTTCACCAGCGATAGCGGCGAAGGCGGCGGTGTGTGCCATGCTGTTACAGCGGGCACACGTGCCGGACACGTGCGACAATCGAGGCGTCACAGACGCTCTGACTGCCAAGAGGTATGTACATATATTTTATTTTTAGGAGTGAGTGTAGTTTCTAAAATATGTACAATATTCAATTAAAGCTTGGTACATTAATGCCACAGTCCTATGTTAAACCAGTCGACCATATAAATAATCGACCTGTGAGCTTTAAGGTACCAACTGAAAAAGATGCTGAAGCTTTGCCACAAAAACAACAAAATAAGGAAAGAGTAAAACGCAACGTAACTGCCGAAACCACTTCGAATGCTAATGAACTAACCGCAATAAGCCGTTTAGAAACTAGTGCCCCAGATGCACCACTCATACATATCATCCAAGAATTGCACAACAACTGTGTAATATCTGAAGTACGCGTAAATAAACACAAATTACAAGCTAGTCGACAACAAAGTCAGAGTTTAAATACTTGTCAAACAGCCAAATCTTCGCCACGAAAAACTAAACACTCATCCCATTCAACTCGCAATATGTGCGAGCCCACTGCTCCACCGTTGGAAAATTGGGCTGCCGTCTATAAAAATGCGCAAAGAAGAATGGAGTCATTCGGTGCTCCAGTTCTAGATAAAATTGATGAACTTGAATCCATTTCGGATATATTTGCTTACTCAACACCTCTAACGAGTAGCTCAAAACATACCGACAGCGGTCGACGTAAAAACAAAGGCGGTCGTTTATTGCAGAAACGTTTAAGTCTTTCATCGGTGCATTACAGACCAAGACGATCCTTACAGGCTCCACCTAAGCCACCGCGTGCACATCTCTGTTTAGAGGAAAAATCGACGATATCCTCCTTGTCTTCTACTTCGCCATCTCTGCGCGAAGCAGAGCGTATACTTGATGAGTTCTTGATTAGAAAAGGAGCTATGATCAAGGAAAAAGAGGAAAAAGCAGTGAAATACACTGGAAAAGTGGATAAGGCTGGTCAAGTGGAAATGGAAAAGGTGTTGTATGCTTCGGATAGGAGACGTGAGCACCGCAAATCTTGCCCCACGAGTAAGTTCTACTAAACTGGTAACATTAATCAAATAAGTAGTGCAATAATGGTTTCTTTTGGTGTTAGTTTTGTAGTTTAATTTTTGTTACATTGGTACTGTATGGGAGACAATAACAGTTGTATGGAATAAAGTTCTAATTACTTACTTTCATGTTGCTACGTAGTTTTATTTATTGAGTTCAGTACTTAGCTAATGCTGATTTGTTTTGAAAGTAATACTATTAGTTTTTAGTGTAATCTTCACTTATCGTAGTAACTTCTAATCTTCTTCAAATGAAAAAAAAAAAATGAAATCGTCTTCTTTATGCCATTCATTTTAATACTAGTGCAAGATAACCTACTTTGCCGTCACAGTTAGACCGGTTCTTTTGCGCTTATACATTTGCATTTGAATAAAAGTCTTTGTATTATTCTCTTCGCTAATCTATTATTATTATTTTTTTTTGCCTGTCCTCATTTAGGCTTGGCAGAAATCAAATCTCGACCACATTTGCCAACTTGTCCCTCCCTCAGTGACCTCGAACGTTCCGCTATGGATTCCAACAAGAAATATACTAATTATGAGAAAAATATTCGAAAAATTACTGAAAAGCCTGTTAAAGAGCTTAGTTTTGGCTGGAAGGAACCAAAAATTGCCGAAATGCTCAATTGCGATACAACATCAAAGCAAAAGCAATTCAAATCTCAAGCTGTTCAAGCTGAGCCGCAACAAATTATCGGTTGGCAAATTCCACCAAAAGTAGATCTCGATACAGTCGACGGCGTATGCTCCAATTTGGCTTCGAATATCGCAACTAAAAACACACCCGTCAAATCATCCCACCTTTCAACACCAAAGCGAGCCAGTGAATCTCAAAAGTTCATTTGGCGTGAGCAATGGCGTAATCTCTCGCCATGGTGTAATAAGAGCTCAAAAGGTGGCAATCGCTTTTTGAAAAGTAATTTAAAGTCATCTTCGCGCTCGCTGTTGAATAGTTCGAAGAAGAAAATTTTACGTTTGGTTACGCCCAAACGTGATAATTTACAGTATCGTCGAAGCTACACATCGCAAAGCATTGGCGTTCAAACATCCCAGGATGAACTGCAGCCGTACGAACCGAGCATGACACCACAATCACCACCAGGCAGCTACCACTCTGCTGTTCAAACCTCAACGCACACTACAACACCCACATGTTCGCAGAATACCAATGCCACGGAAACACAAGATTTTGACTTTACACGTACCGTCCGAGCGCCACCTAAGAAGGCGCCACGCGCTAGCATCCAGCGTAAATTAAATTTTCCATTTGATGGTAGTGCGGCAGCGGAGAGAGCACCGCGTGAAGGCGACACGCTTAGAACCTCAATGAAAACGAAAACGTATCGGTCGTATCATGGCGATTTGGATCAGGATGTGACACTATCCAAACTGGGCTATATACTTGGCAATATACGTGCCAAATTGGAGGCTAGTGACGAGCATGCAATGCGTACATTTCAGGTGAGCTTAAGATACTCTTTTTTACTTACAGTTTTTAAAAGAGACAGGTTAATGCAGATTTTTAAGATTTAAATACTTTTAGGCCTTATAGCTTGTAGTGGTGATATTTTTATTCAACAATTCACTTTTTATTGAACAAATTAAAGTCAAATGTTAAAGTACTGAAAATTGTATTCCTAGTGAGTAGTGATCTGAACCCAGATGCTTATTAGGTATTAATCCAGTACGTATGCAGTCATTTATTTTTGGTAGCGTGTAAGCCGATTGGATTTGTATCTTTTGACGGTTTTCGTCAACTGATTGCAGAATGTAGTCAACTGTTATCCATCTTTCTTGAAATGTTGAAGCAGTATGCATACCGAAATCTATTGGAGCCATTTGCAAATTATTTCCCTTGGGCGTTTTCAAATAATACTCTTTACTAGCTTCTTGGTTGCTACCACTTCCTTCGTCATGTTTGTTAAATCTTTCACAAATTGGCGGATCTTTACACTGCTCACATAGTATTTGATACGGTCTTGTTTTGGGTTCGAAGTTAAAATCTCCTGTTAATATCACGGGAAGTGGTACACTTTTGCCGTTTTCATTTTCAACTGAGAATTGCTGTAAGGCTGCTATCAGTTTTTCCACTTGTGCAATTCTGACATCTTGCCTCTTTGGATTGTAAAGTAAATGCGTTGTTGCTACAATAAATTTTTTGCTCGGTTCATTTCTAACGGAGAACATGGCTAGTAAGGCAACATTGTCACGATTTAAAATTGCATGGCCTTTGGTATAATATTCCACAGGTAAGTCGGCTAGTAATCGAAATTTGTTTTTATCGTAAATAATTGCGCAACCGTCTGTCCGATGGCCAGTTTTCTTTTTGAACACATATTCCAATTGTCTTTTGAAGCTAATATGCTTGACAAAATTTCTGATATGATTGAATTGCATTTCTTGTAAACAGAGTATATCTGGTTTTATATGCTGAATCTCCTCCGTCAAACGCAAAAGTCTATGATCCCAACGTAACATTGACGGCTCAATGCCCATATATAGATGTAAATGCTCTACTAACAAATCCTGTGCAAGAATATTGTACGATAATAATGTGTAGACTTTACTACCGCCACTAGTTCCTTTTCCAGCCCCTCCCATAGCTCTCTCCCAAGTGCGGGTCATTTTGCTTGAACGCTTCCAACGGCTAATCGAGTTTGCCTGGATGTATAAGACTTGTTCACAGTATTTACTTCTTAACGATTTAGCAACATTCAATAAATTATTTGTATTGAAACTGCTAATAAAAGTTTTAAACATTTCACAAATCACATTCGTATGCTGTGTGAAAGGCTATGGGTCCGTTTTGGCCTAAGGAACTTAATTTATAATTATTTAGGTATGGAATTAAAAAAAAATCTATTATGCTTTGATGTGATCTTCGTTCAAATAATCGCCAAGTCAGCTGTTTATGATAGGAAGAAGAAAACCAGCACACAAAATTAACTTGTTTTCTTTTGTGCTCAAATTCGTATTTTTAAAAACAGGCATGTTACTTTATTGCGTGTTTGTTGTTTGTGTCGATTCAAAATTTAAAAAAAACGGTCTTTTAATAATTCAATAATGCTATTAATAATTTTATTTAATAGTTTGCATATTCTTTGCATGTATTTAAAGTAATAAATTTTGTTTTTCGTATTAGGAAATTGAACGTCGTGAGCAAAGCGCTGTCGGCTACGATTGCACTGATGGACCTAATAGAGAGACGGAAACACGCGCAAATATACAAACAAAGAATCACCGTTCCCATCAATACAATGTATGCCAACAGGAACCTATTTACTCCGAAATTGAAGAGGATAGTATGCATATAACAGGAACACCGCATTACGACAACACAACTAGCGCAAAGGAAATTGCGCCTATTAAACCGGATTTGGAAGTGTTGTATGCCAAAGTTAATAAGGCGAATAAAAAACAAAGGAATCAAAAAAACCAGCCACTGTTGCAAACGACACCAATTGCCTTAGGGAAGTTATTACATGATTCGCTGCGTAATTTAAACACCACCATACAGCCAACTCAGCTGCCAACACTACAGGAGCAATCGTATAGCGATACATCGTATATGTCACCACCGCAACCGAATGCGAGTGTTTCGGAAACTTCTTCCATGTCCCATAGCCAGTCAATGAATAATGTGCGTATGCAGGAGCATCATTCACCACCAAAATATGAGAGAAATTTGAATAAATCCGATTTGTCGCTGCATCGAAGTGAAATCTTTTTAGATAACCTCTGCCGGAGTGAGCTGATAGTAGAAAATGACGAACTGGAATGTGCAGGAAAGATGAATAACGTGAGTAAAGCCTTATTTATATATTATTTTAATTTTTTTATTTTTTATCTTTTGGGGTTTCAATGATCCTCTATAATTATTTTTTTTTGTTCCTCTAGAATGATTTAAATAAATCCAGCAGTTCGCTCAGTCAAATAAACACTTTCCGTCACTTCTCTACCTCTACACCAACTCCTGATGATTCCATTTCCTATGATACTCCGAATGATGCAGATTTTGATGACATTTCTCAGGCAGCTATTAGTCAATTAGGTTTAAGTATGGCTATCGATTCGATGACCTCTGCTGCACCGAGCGTAACGAAAAAGAAAATAGCGCCAAAATTTACAACTAAGGTAGAAATTTTCATTGACTCTTATTAAGCTTACGTTTTAGACAAGCTTAAACTGATTATATTTAAAAAGTGTAAATATAAATCTATTTGTTACTAACATTTTTCCTACACGGTGATAATATGTCTAACAACAATTGTTAACTATCATTGACAACATATTACAACTTAATACACAAAACAATAGAAACAATACTTTGCATTACTATATGCTTTTCATTTAATTTAGTTGGTGCGTTGCAAGTAAGAAATATACAATTTTTTATACTGCTCTACCTCATTATTCCTCAATCTCTTCTCATAACTCAGAACATACAATCTTACTCCTCTTTATAAGAATAATTTTTTATTTTTTTTGAAACTAATTTTAATTGCATTTTTCTCTTGCTTTCCACATTCACTTGAGGGCTATGAAATATAAAAAGGCCGGTTATTAATTTGCTTCTATGAATTTCAGTCACATTTAAGCACACAACGTACATCCAGCTTGAACCCATCCAACGATAATGCCCTTACCTCGCCTTCAAGTAGTCATCAGCAAAGTACCAGCTGTCCCGTTACGCCGAAAAAATTGCAGTTACATTTCCCTGCGCAGTTACCACACACCTCGAGTCTCAAAGAGTTGCGTGAAATGGTAGAAGAAAAAGAAGAAGATCAAAACCGTTCAATTTCAAACACCAGCTTATACGATGACATATCGCAGGCTCCAAGCACCGTTGACGCGCCTACCACCAACAACAATTTTGCACGTTATCAACGTTTGAAAAATGCACTCCGAAAATCGTTCAAGCGTGGCACGAAATTCGTTAAAAACGAAACACTACGTCTTTCCTCTTCATTTAGCTTTCCTACAACAAATATTAGCTTATCTAAAAGCCTAAATGTACACAATCAAACCGATCCGCAATTGTCTACCATCTCTTCCTCGTGCGATTTAAATGCACTATTCACATTAGATGAGGAAGCGCCAGTGGTACAACAACTAGCGCAAGCCGTAACAATTTGCCGACAGCTGCCGGAAGTTGAAATTTCACCGGAAATGGTTGAAGCAGAACGATTGTTACTTTTCTCACGCCTACGTCGCGATGCATGGCCACAAAGGTCGCCCACAGTGGGAACGGCAGCAGCCAGTCAACGCGCAGTCGACCAACACACGCATCGTTTTTATATCGATGGCATGCGTTTGCCCATTAAGGTGGATGTGAATCAAGATTTCTTTTTCAATTACTTCTATATAGTGACTTTTGAGTGTGGTGGCGTAATTAAATCCACACAATCGGCGGAATGTCATAACGGAAAGGCGATATTTAGTGAATGTGGCATTGAATTTGCTAGCGGTTTGTCGGAAGAGGATGCCGTGGTGCGTTGCGAGATTTTTATGCTACGTTTACGTAAAGTGTCGACACTGTCACTGGAGCCAAAGCGAACCATAGTGGTGAGTGTGACAATAACTGTAAATAAAGTCGTTACTTTTGTTTTGCACTAAACCCCACTGCTTTGCATTTATTTTAGAAATTACCAACTGCACGCACACCCGGCACCGCATCTTCCTCCTCATCTGGCGATGAAATAGTATCACGTTTTCGACTACATGCAAGTTTCGCACTCAACGCACGCAATTTTGTGCCATACGAATATGTGGCGGGTGAATCGAAGAACACAAATAAACTCTGCCTGCGTGCGAGCAACAGAAATTGCCAACTACCACTCACGCCACGCACAAAATCTACAAATCTCTGTACAGAAATTCACTTATACGGCCGTGCAGAGATACGTTTCCCCAAGCAAACGTACAGCGGCTTTCTTAACGTACAAGATCCACACACGCAACATAACTGGAATCGTCGCTGGTGTACGCTGGATGGCATACACCTACGCATTTGGACGGATGAAAACCAAATGGACGATGATAAACTGCTGCTCACTTTGGATATGCGCTCGAATGTGCAGTCGATTCCATTACAAGTTGCGCCGCGTGAACTCTGCGCACGTGCGCGCGCTTTTTGTTTGCAATGCGCGTTGGAAAAAGGTGGCGAGCTAGTCGATACGGCGGCGGTCTTTTTTGCCGCAGATACACAAGAAGAGTTGGAAGATTGGCTGGTGAAGTTAAATGAAGTGCTTATATTCGTAGATAAATGGCTGTGTGAGGCGGCAAGAGATGATTTTGCGTAGATGGAGCGCAATCTTCTGTATGGCGACTATAGTATGGCGCAAAATATATTTGTTAATTGTCTATTTGTAAAGAAATTTTTTTATGTGGTATTCGGTATTTAGTATATATGTATAGTGGAGGCAGCTATTTAAAATAGTTTTTATATACAATATAATATTTTTGTATGTATGGGAAACATATATGTATGTATGTATATGAAAAGCACAGCCTTGATTCTCTTTAAGTGAAGTGTGGAGTTTTAGGAAGTTCACTTTTGAATGGAGGATTTAATAAGTGCAGTCGAACAATTTTTCAATTTCAATGAGCATCTCTTAGGTGGAAACAAATTTCGTGTACAACATGATACAAGGTACATTCCACATAAAAAGCGAGATTTTAATTCTTTCACTCTCCAATTAAAAAAAAAAAATTACGAAAACTCAGCGCCATTTAGTGGGGTAGACGATAATTTTTATTTATAATTTCCTGCTGATAAAATTTATTTTTTAGGTAACTTAATAAATACGGGGTTTATACAATTCAGAAAAGTGTGTATGTATGTATCATGACACATATTTTGTGTATGTAAATAAAAAATAAATAAATTAGAATCAAACTAAACACAAACACAGCAAAACCACCGAAGCCCGGCCGGAGTAGGAAGGACTTTTAGCGTGTGGAAGAAATAGTTCATATGCATTTCATTATATATATTTTTTGTTTTTAATATTTACTTCACATTATTGGTACTATTTGGGGCTGGCCAATTATTTACATATATTTCTTGTGTCTTAAATTAGTTTTTCTTTTCACCATTGCCATGCTTACATGTATGTATGTACGTTGATTTATTCAAACAGTATTTATTACACAGGTTGTGTTTTTGCACTTTATTCATTCCATTTTAATTATTCTTTTATTTAGCGTTTTTTGTGCATTATTTGCTATAACTTTCATATTTTAGTTTAATATATTTAATTAATTTTTTTCTTTAAGATATTCAAGAAATTGTTACTATAGTTTTAGTTATAATGGGAAAGAATCGGTTGAGGTTGTACTCATACAAGTCTGTATATGGTATATATATATATAAGTATAGTGGAACAGTTATTTTTAAATATAGAAAATGGAAGTTTCCATGAAGTTGATACTAAGTGAAAGCGATTTTGGGTTTTACTATTCTTTATATTCTTTAGTTTAATTACGAGATATGACTTGAGTTGCTTTTTTGTTTTGTTGTCGTCTATTTTTCAGCAATTTATTATGCAAAAATTTGGTGTCTGGATGTGCCTTCGAGGTAAAAACGTTAAATTTTTAGGAATTTGTTTTTTTTTTTTTTGATATAATAATTTTTTCTTAATTTAATTTTCATATTCTTGTGCAAATTGAACGTGTTTGTCGTTATTTATTGACTACATATTATTTTGGTTATCTTCATTACATACGTACATATGTACGTTTGTATGTATGCATATATTGTTAATGATATATCTATATATTTCAATGTATATTGAACTGCGTGTACACTGGATTATTGTTGCTTTGTATGGTTTTTAAACATGATAATATTTGTGTTTATTATTTTTATTTTTTTACTTTTATTATTATTTTTCATTTATGAATATTTTAACACTTCGTAAACCACCACAGCACCTATGCCACACTGCTGCATTCACTCTCCTTGTCCTTTAAACCAATACATATTTCCACACTTTATTGGTCTGATGATTTGTACCAATCTCAGTTACATACAATGCCGAACCGTTAACACACACTGCAATCGAATGTGGATTTTTGAATTCACCCCAATGGCCAATGATCGTCTCAGAACGTGGATCTATGGTGAAACCACGTACGGGTAACATTGATGTTGGTCCATTAACGGCATACACTATATCACCGTATGCAGCAACGCCAAAGACACGCCCCAAATCGGGTTCCTGTATGGTGGCGGCCGGCTGACCCTCACCTCGTGACGACTTCAAGCCCGCTCTGTGTGGAAAAGAAGGATGATATGAGTGGCTTCTGCTTTGAGTGCTATGTACTAACTTACTTTGGACAAACCACACGCATATTTTCACGATCGGCAATACATAGGAGGTCTAAGTGTTCCAGTAGTGTGATGCCATGTGGGACTTGTAGTGAGAGGAATTCTGAAAATATATAAAAATTAGATGAAGGGTATTCGTAAAGTATTTTAAGCGCTGTAAGCATTTTATTTTATATATTTCTTAGACTTCTTTATTTTGTTTAAATTAATTTTTTACCTTTTTAATTTATTTTTTAATTAAATTTTTTTAATTTTTTTTAAATAAATTTTTTTTTAAATAAAATTTTTTAATTTTTTTTTAAATAAATTTTTTTTTCAAATAAAATTTTTTTAATATTTTTTAAATGAAATTTGTTAATTTTTTTTTATTACGATTAATATATTTTATTAATTTTCTTTTCAATTAGTATTTCTATTTAGTTTTTTTTTTAAATTATTTTATTTTAATTAATCATACTTTTTTATTAATTATTATTTTTTAATTACTTATCATTTTTGAATAAATTCTTTTTTGATTCATATTTTTTTTTATTAATAATATTTTGTATTTTTTTTTATATAAAATTTTTAATTTTTTTCTTTTCAATTATTTTATTTTAATTAATTGTACTTTTTAATTAATCATTAATTTTTAATTAATAATCATTTTATAATTAATTCTTTTTTAATTCATAATTATTATTTTTAATTAATACATTTTTTTATTTATTTATTTTTTAATTAATATAAATTTAATATTTTATTTTTTTTAAATTAATTTCTTTTTATTTAATTACTTCTTTTAAATTAATATTTGTAAATTAATTAGTTTTTTTACCCGGCGGTTGTGGTATTGTGCGTAAAATGCGTCCAGCAGCGTTAAATTTCAATATGCGACTATTACAGTAGCCGTCGGCAATGAAGAACTGAAAGATTGAAGAATTTTATAATTAAAAAGAATTCAACTGACAGAAAATTTGGCGCCGTCGAGTGAGAATGCTATCTTTTCTTTTAATACATTTTCTCACCTTGAGCTTAACATAAAATTATGACGTGAACCCTTTCTTTCGGTCCACTTTCATAATATTTCTTACCTCGCCTGTTGTGGCTACCGCAACGGAAGTGGGCTTGCAGAGATGATTAATGGATGAGCCAGGTTTGAATCGTTTTCCCACAGTTAGTAGGGGTTGCGTTTCAAATGGTTTGAACTGTAAAAATTTAGAGATAAAAATTTATTCAATAATTTGTATTTATTATTACACACGGAAACTTCCATTTTCATATTTATGTAAAATTACTTTATTCAATTTTATTTTGATTTACTTTTACTTTCTGTATTTTCACTTACATATATTTTATTTTTATAAATAAAGAATTTCATTAATTTTATTTCATTTTAATTTATTTCACTTTTTTAGTAGACCTTCAATTTAATTAAACTTTTTTATATTACTTTACTTAATTTAATCTTATTTTTTTTTAGATTATTTTTTATATATTTAATTTTATTTAGATTATTTAATTGTACTTTGTTTTGTATTATTTTTTTTATACAATTTCCGTTTCTTTTACTAATTTTTTTAAATTAATTAATTTTTAATTTTATTTTACATAATTTTTATTTTATTTTTATGAAATATTTTTTAGTTTAGTTAATATACCTTTTTTAAATTAATTTAATTTTTTAAATTAAAATTTAATGTGATTGAACTTGGTTACAATTTATTCGATTTAATCATTAATTAAATTTTTTCACTTACTTTATATCATTTTTATTTTATTTTACATTAGTTTTATATAATTTATTTTCTTTTTGATTTTATTCTATTTTATTTTTCTTTATTTAATAATTTAATTAAATTTAACTTTGATTGTAAGTATGATGAAATCTTTAATTTGAGTAATTCCTTTTTTAACCATTTTACTTATTTTTTATATATTATCTGCATTATTTTTTATTTCACTTAGTGCTTTCCTTTACTTTTTAAGACCTTTTTTTATATTTTAAATTATGCAATAAAAAAATGAATCAAAAAACCAAAATAAAAAAACGAAAAATTAATTGAAATATAAAATTATTATCATCAATTATATTTTTTAATAAAAAAAATTAGTAATTTGTATTTTATTTACTTTACTTTTTTTATTTCAATTAATTTCTTATTTTTGATTTATTTGTTTCATTTTAACGTAATTTGTTTAATTTTTTAATTCAATATAATGTACTTTAACTTTTTTTAATTAATTTTTTTAAATTTTTAATACGATTAATTTATTTTTTTAATTCTTTAATTAGATTCTATTCTATTTCGCCTTATTTATTAATTCCATTAAAGTTAATTTCAGCTTAATTAATATGATTTAATCTTTAATTTAATTAATAAAGTTTTTATTTTATTTTACTTAATTTTTTTATTTTATTTTGGACCTTTTTCATTATATTTTAATACTTTTTGAATTTAATTTAAATTAAAATTAATTATAATTCATTTAATTTTTAATTATTAAACCTTTATTTTATTTAATTAATTTTTCTTATTTTATTTTGCATTTTTTTCATTATATTTTAATATTTTTTAAATTCAATTTGCTTTAATTGAAATTGATATAATCTTAAACCTTTGGTTTAGTTAAAATTAATTAACTTATTTTTTATTTTATTATCTTTTTTTTTAATTTTATTTTGCTTAATTCTTTATTATTTTAATTTCATTTTATGTTACAGGTTTTTTTTATTTTTATTTTTTTATTTTATTTTACTTTATATTGTTTTTTTTCATGTTATTTTATAATTCATTTATATTAATTGTTTTATTTTTCTATTTTACTTACTGTTATTTTTTCTTTCTTTTATCTTGTGTTTGCAATGTTATTGATTTTATTTTGTTTTATAGTTGCATTTTCTTGTGGCACATTTTTATTTATATTCCTTTATTTTATTTTTTTAATTTTTTTTTTTATTTTTATTTTTTATTATATATATTTTTTTTGCATTTTATTTCTTAAATTTTGTTTAAAGTTTTTTAATATTGTATAATTGAATTTGAATTCTTTGTTAATTAAGTTTTTCTCATTTTTTAAAATTTTTTATATTTTAAAATTTTTTATTTTTTTCAAATTTTTAATTTTTTTAAATTTTTTTTTTTTTATATAATTTCTTTTAATTAATTTTTTTTTATTTAAATTTTTAATTTAATTTTTTTAGCTCTTTATTCAATCTTTTTGTTAATTTAAGTTTTTTTTTTTAATTTTTTGTTTTAGTTTTATTTTTATTTATATTTTATTCAAGCAATTTATCACCCACTCCTTCACTTCCTATGCTACTTCTCACCTTAAATGCCTGATGCATTGCCACATCCGTTATCCAATAATTTCCATGTATATCAATAGTTAGGCCATGTGGCATGTAGAACATCTCCTCACCCCAACCAGATTTGATGGCACCAGTTTTGGGATCCAAAATGTATATGGTCTTCTCCTTTATAGGACCATATTCGATCAGATAGAAAATGTTGCTGTCATTAAATGTGCTACAACAACAAAAGAAAGAGAGAATAAAATCAGCAAAAAAAACATATACACACACCCATAAAGTAATTGTAGTTTTTGTAACAGCTGTTGACCTACTTTGCATCCCAATATCTATCGGCGCGATGAAAGATGACCGGATTACCGTGCGGATCAATAGACACAGCAGCGACCTGGCCAAAGGAGTGGCTTTCGGTGGGCCAATTCTCCACCAGCACAGGTGTTGGCACCGTGGGAGGTGGCGTTATCACATTCATTGCGCCATTACCACCTTCACCAGCGTTGGCTCGTTCGTAACCCGGTGGCAATTCATTGCTATTACTGCCACTATTGCTGCTACCGACAATTCCACCATCGCCAACGCCAACGCCAATACCAACAACACCATTCTCATTATCCATATGTATTTCTTGTAACTGCGAAGAGTTAAAATTTTTTTTTTTATTATAAATAAATGTTTCACCCCTGCTCTCCGGCCCGCTTACCGCTGCATTCTCCTTGAGTCGTCGCTTAATCAGCGCCCGCACATCGTTAAAGAACCGTTCATTCAACGTCAACGCATCCTCTGGATAGTCCAGGCGATGAGTTGGCAAGTGGTTGCTTGCGCTCCAATCGATTGCCATTGCGGCCAAAATCAAAATCACTGCGTATAACTTGTTGTTGCCCATCCTGTTGCTGTGGAGTGAATGCGTTTAGAATGTGAAAAGTTCAAGTGTACAATTGAGTCAAATGGACTGTTGTATTCGTATGTATTTTTCCTGCTACCCTTCAAGTGTATCGATAATTCGCACTTACAGCTGGTTAAGTTAAATGAGCTTTGTGTGCGAAAATAAATTTCTTCTAACCAACCATGGTCGTTGGCACTGGAATCTGCGTTGCAGTAAATTCGTCGTCACTACACACACCGAATATTTTGCGGTTGTTTTGCTTCTACAATTTGTATAACTGTTATTGTGGGTGCTAATGTTGTCGTAGATTAAGTTATAGTAGGCCTACCTAGGTTGTGGTAAGACGCCTGCGCATCAAAGCTGCATTACGGTGGGACAATGTTGAAGAACTGTGACCTAATGAGAAAAATTATCCTGCAAATTGAAGAGGTAAGGGGAATTAGGAGAAATTCAAACATAAATCGAATATTTAGCGAAGCTTCGTGAAATGGAGAGAAACTCGGATCTTTATTGGGATGATTCCAGGATGTATTGTGAGTTCATGACGGTAGCAAGGAAAAATCTAATTTTTTGTGAGGTACATCATATATAATATACGGAATTCGTCTCACTCCAAGATGTCCTAAATATTAGCGCTCCAACTTTTAACGGCCTAACTTCGAGGTGTGACAATAAAGAAAGAGACTGATTATATTGCGGCGTGTGTGGTAATCCTGCGACCTTGAAATTCCCTTTCCCTTCTCTCGGCATCCTTTTCCCTTCCGTTGATATATTTGCCATCGCTCTAACTTGTGGAGTAAACTTTTGTTCGTGGTGCTCGTCAAGAAAATGGAAAAACGAAATCAAGAGCAACTCGTCGCTATAAAATTTTTCACCAAATTGGGCGAAACATCATCGGAAACGTGCATGATGATAGTGCTCTTAGTCGTGCCCAATTGTTCCGATGGCATAAAGAGTTTGAGCAGGGGCGCGAAATCGTAGAAGATGAGGCGCGGAGTGTCCGCCCAATTGAATGCGTTGCGTGTGCGCGCTCTAGTCCGTGAAGATCAACGTTTTATAGTCAACTATCGCCAAGTACTCGAAAGATTGTGAGAACGAGCCAACAGGGTGCGCACAGACATCGTTTGCAACTGGGTCCTTTATCACGACAATGTGCCGTGCCACACCGCCCACAGCGTACGCCAGTATTTAGGCCCTAAAGGAATCGCCGTGTTGCAACAACCGCTTTATTCGCCCGATATGCCACCCTGTGACTTTTTTGTTCCTTGGAACAAAATCGGTGGTCAAAGGAACCCACTTTGAATCGATTGAGGACATCCAGGCGGTCGTGACGAGCGTTCCGGAAATGTAACGAAGCATGGAAAACACACTGGAATCGTTGTATAGCTGCCCCAGGGGACTACTTTGAAGGGCTGTCATCACCAGATGTAGAATAATTTTTAAATATATGGTTTTTATGGCATCAGTCTCATAACTTAATGGTACGAGGTGTGTATTATCATAAGGACTTTGGTGGCTCATTTGGTTCTATGCACAAAAATCACATAAGTCCTAGTTTTAGATTTTTATTGATATAGTTTTGTGAAAAGTCGTATTTGGCCTTACTCTGACGTCTTAGCTCTTCATATACATATTATAAATACGAATGTAAACAAAAGAAAGTAACGACTCGACGACTTATTTATATCTCCTTTCTTCATTTCCACTTATCAAAAGCCTAGCAGTTACCTTACTTCTAGCACCAGATGGGTCGAGGAGGCTTTGTAATAAGTACTTAGTTTAGTCTCCCATATAGCTAACTCAAACCCCTTACTGTAGTATGAGTATGAGCTAAAAATATTGCTGGGAACTCGAAATCTGGGTGTATCACGCTTGCAATTGTAAATCGTATAAAAATTATTCCAAAAATTAAGAGTGTACGTAGCGTCTTCGCCACCACGTTACTGTTGATAGTCATATTTTGAAGTTGTAGACAATTTTGGCTGGCTAGGAACCAGTGTAAACAGCAATAACAATGTCAGCTTGGAGATCCAATCCAACACTCTTTAACTCTAACTTGCCGTGAGCCGGCTTTGGAAGAAGATTTGAGCAGCTTGTTCGGTAGTGCGAAAATACTCCAGTTTTGAAAGCATACGGTACAGTACTAGCTGGCAGAAGCCGAAAAACAGGAATACTAATAGTTTGAGGAAAAACCTAACCTCAATTTATGGCTTGAATAGAGAGACAAAACTGGTGCTTTGTGGTTAATTGCGCTATAATTGTATAAGCGGTGCCCATGTCAATGATGATGAAGAAATACAATGTATTTAAGTATGTAAGAAGCGTGAATTTCTTGCTTTTGTCCCACTGTGCATTATCAGAAAATGTTGAAAATATTGATTTTCCAATATTTTGCTGACGTCGTTCACTGGTCGATTATGTGAGTACATAAAACGTTCACTAAAATATGTGCATATGTATGTGTTTATGTATGTACATATATGGATTATATATTAGTGTGTGTAAATTGTTAGAAATAGTAAAGACAATAATGCTTGCCATCTGTATGTATATATGTATGCGTGTAAATGTATGCAAGCAATTAGAGATATCTAACCAACCATAAATATGTTTTGTTATTATCAGTGAGCAAAAATGACAAAACGATTTTTTTTTGTTTATTTTTTTTTTTTATTTTTTTTTTTTTTTTTTNTTTTTTGTTTTTTTTTTTATCTTTTTCTTTTGTTTCTAAGTTGACAGATTTATTAATATATCAGCCAATAAAACTTCATCAACAACAACATACATACGAAAATCTATATTATATACAAATGTAGGTATGTATGTATGTATGTATATATGTAACTATAATTAGACATCATGACGACATGTGCGTCAATATAACAATGCAATGGATTTTTTTTTGCTTAATTATATACTTATTATGCGTGCATATACATATATGTAAGTACATATGTATATTCTCATATGTACATGCATGCATATGTATTACGCAATATTAAATGTATGTATGTACGAATTGCTTATGTGCAGACGATCAATCTCAAATTTGAATGCATATTTCACACATACATATACATATGATATATACATATCTACGTTATAACACATTTCTGGTCTAATAAACTACAAGTTTCACTAATTTGGAAGCTTAAATTGCTTGGTTAACTATCCATGAAAGCTTTTGGGAATTTATGTGTGGGTGGTTTTGTTGATGATTATGTTAAAGGACGTTAATTTAAAAGTAAGAAGAAGAATTTAGGTTAATTTTGTACATTCAAACTCAAGGACGCAAAAACCCTTCATTGTTCGATTCTTCTGGGTAGTTCATTCATTCAGCTGGTGTGGAATGACAATAACTTGGTTGTGAGTTCGTATTTGAAGTTTGTGCATTATTGTACCACAGATTTGGACACATACATATAAACACATGTATCTATAGCTTTCCAGCACTCCTCACTTTTCAGCACACTTCACTTTCGACCTCTAGTCCGGACTTTCAACTACTTAAATGGACCTGCAGCCGTGTATTAAGCAAGCCACTGAGCCTTTGGCAGAAAAGGGAACGAGCTCTGAAGGTTGTCTGTTCCTTTTTTTAATAAAAAATTCACCGCTTTGTAACTTTTGGTTTAATAAATCATTTTCGCCACTTTGCATATAGTGTCTTCCAGAATTATGATAATTTTAATTATACTCTTTCAGTCAGTTGGACTTAAGATTACAGTCCGAGGTCCACAGATGCTCAAAAGATTCGCGAAATTAAAGTTTTAAGACCTCACCTGACTCTTATACCTTGCAAGGTTTAACTAAGCTCGAAGATACAGTATTAGAGCATTGACCTCTGCGACTTAGATTAATTAAATCTGTGCCTAAGCGTGGTTAACGAACCGATACAACAACAAAATGGTAGAGTATTAAGAGATTCACCAACAAGCGCTTGCAAGACACAAGAAAATATTTTGCACGCTGCTGTTGGGGTCTGAGGAAATTAAATATTCTTAATAATTTATAAATAAAAAAAGTTAAGTAACAGCTTAAGCGCTTAGGCTCTGCAGTCTGCAAGTACAGGTTATTATCCTATCATGTCAAAAAAAATAAAAAATAAAAAAAAATATACACATATATACATGTACGAGTTCATGTAAATCAACTTACAAGCGTGTATTTATGTATGTATGTAGGTACTATATAACTAAGCTTTGAGCTTCTGCTCATTTCTCATTGACTTAGTGGCACTTAAAGTGCCTTTGTTGTAAATATTATATATGTAAATAAATATAAATGTGTATGTATGTATATTCGTCCTTAATAATTTTCAATTAAATTGTTTTCATATTTTTTTTCTCGATTATTTTATATCCTAATTAAAGGCATTTATTCATACATAAATATGTAAGTATGTATGTATGTGCATAAATAGTTATAGGTGTTCTATTCTCAATGAGTGTGCTAAGCACTTTAATAGATATATCTGTATATCTGTATGTATGCATGTATTTATGTATATTTATGTAGGCAGTCGACTGTTTATGCTGGCATTCATGGTACCCAATCCCACGTGGGTTGCGTCCATATATAGCCAGTGTCGGTCATTGAACAATACGCATTATAATAGCGTCCTGGTGAACTGTAAATGAAATAAAAGATTTATGTGAGCGGTGTTGATACTATTTGTGTATATTTTATTTTTTTTTTCTAGGTGATTGGTTTCTATTTTATTACATACACTTATTTTATTTTAAATTTTTTTTGAAATTAACTCAACGATATCATTTCATGGCTTATGATTCTCATTTAATTTTATTTTATTATATATATCTATTTTATTTTAAATTCATTTTTAATTTTTTTTTTTGAAATTAAATCAACTAAATCATTCATTGCATATAATTCTTATTTAATTGAATTTTATTTCACTTTTATATATTATTTTAATTTACTATATTTCATTTTTATTAATTTTTTGTATTTATACTTTATTTTAGTTTGTTTAAATTTCTTAATTTTATTTCATTTCTTAGTATTACGTATTTAATTGTTTTTTTATTTCACTCTATATTATTTTACTTTTTATAATATATTTATGTTATTTAACGCTATTTTTTATTTGACGTATTTTAAAATGATTTTTATTTTTCTTTTTTTACTTAAAGTTTATTTCATTTATTTTAACTCTATTCATTTCAAGTGCAAATTTATATTACATGTAATTTAAATTTATTGCATTTTGTTTAATTCTAGAAAAAATAGTTTTTTAATGAATTTTTGTTATTGAATTTCATTTCAATTTTAATATATTTCATTCCATTTAATTTGCTTTATACCTATATATATTTTTTCTAGTAAATTTTAATTAATGCTATTTTTTGTTTTGTTTAATTCAATTTATAATTTTCCTTTTTCATTCTTTTAAATTAATTTCATATAATTAAAATTATTTATTTCTTTCGAACGTTTAATTTTATTTTAATTTAATTTACTACATTTTATTTTAATTTATTATAACTCTTTCTTTTAATTTTGGTTATTATTTTAAATTGTTTTGTTTTATTTATTTAAATATTATTTTAACTTAGTTTTAATGTTTTTTAATGGTTTAGAGTTTTTATTTTTTAATTCTCTTTTATTTTTAATACAAATTTGTTTTATTACATTTGTTTCTTTCATCTAGTTTAATTTAATTTAATTTATTTTGTTTTATTTTATTTAAGTAAATTTTATTTCAATTTTTCAATTAATTTAATTCAATTTAATTTTATTTAATATTTTTTATTTCGTTTTATTTTTTATATTTTATTTTATTTTTTTTTTGCATTATTTTAATTTTATTTCCTTTATTAAATTAAATTTAATTAAATTTTTTTATTTATCTTATTTGATATTTTTTATTTTATTTTATTTAATACTATATTATTTTATGTGTTTTATTTAATTTTTATAATTATATTTCTTTAATTTTTTGTTTTATTTAATGTATTTTAGTTTTATTTTACTTTATTTTGTTTTGATTTATATATTATTTTTTACTTCACTTAATTTAATTTAATTTGATTTTATATTATTTTATATTTTATTTTATTTTTTATATTCTTTTTATTTTATTTCTTTTATATTATTCATTTTAATTAAATTTTATTTATTTACTTTATTTTTTTTAGTTTTAATTTTACAATATTTTTTTTTACTTTTATTTAATTTAATTTTATTTTTTTTTACTTTATTTAATTGAATTTAAGTTTACCCTACCGTATTTCATGTAATGTTTTTTATTTTTATTTTTTTATTTTATTTTATTTAATTTTGCTTTACTCTATGTTATTTTATGTTATTCTGATTTAACATATTATGTATTATTAAATTTTACTTTATTGTTGTTTATTTGATTTTGATTTAATTTAAATTTTTATATATAATTATATTTCATTTTATTTCACTTTATTTTATTTAGGTTTATTTTTCTTTGTTTTGTTTTATTTTCTTTTGTGTTGTTTGCTTTTATTTTATTTAGATTGATCTGACTTTATTTTACTTTATTTTATTTTATTTCAATTTAAATTTTTATATTTAATTATATTTCATTTTATTTGACTTTATTTTATTTAGCTTTATTTTATTTTACTTTGTTTTGTTTTATTTTATTTGATTTGATTTTACTTTAGTTTATTAATTTTTATTTAATTTTTTTATTTCATTTTATATTTTGTTAACTTTTTTATTTTAGTTTATATTTTTAATTTAATTTAATCTAAGTTATCTTATTTTCTTTGATTTTATTTTTTTTTAATTTTAAGTTGTTTTATTTTATTATAGTTTGTATTAGTTAATTATTTATTTTATTTTAGTTTATCTTATATAATTTAATTTAATTTAATATAATTGATTATTTGTATGTTGTTACATTTGATTTTATTTTCATAATCTATTATATTTTAATAAAATCTGATTTTATTTACTAAATTTTTTTATCTATTTCATTATATTTGGTTTTACTTTATTTTATTTTATTTTATTTTGCTTTATTTTATTTTATTTTATTTTTAGTTTATTTTATTTTATATTATATTTATATTTTATTTTAACTTAGTTTAGATCATTTAATTTAATTTTTTAATAATTTTTCTAATGTAATTTATTTTATTTTCTTTAATTTAATATTTCATTTAATTTGATATTATTTTAATTTAGTTTACTTTTATCTTTAATTAGCTTTCAAATACCCACCGGCAGTATGAGAATTGTGGACACTTGCAACGAAAAAGATTTTGAAATTCCTCCTTGCACACCTCATTCCACCAGCAGGTGCGCTGAAGGGATTAAATCAAGATAGAATTAATGTGAGCATTAGCTAATAAAATATTTATTCAACATTTTTACACACCTCCGCCTGATAGCCATGCACACTTTGATCGGAATAGCTACGCTTCACAACATGCCCGGCCAACGCTGCCGCATGACATAACAGCATAGTGCTCGCCAATATGGCCACTGGTAGCTTTTAAGAACAAATAAGATTTAGAAATAAATTAAACACAATCTCCATTCAATTGGATTTCTTATTTCCTGCGGCGTCGTTAATTTATTGTCATTTTCACAAAATTTCCACAAACCTTTTTCATTTTGGAGCACACCCTCTCCACTTGCTGCTCAGTTGGCTTCCTTCTACTACGAATTCCTGTGCTACACTCCCGCCGACCACACAGCTGACGTCTATAGACCCACTTCAATTTCAATTCTTTTCCTTATCCTCACTCAGCTTGACTTGTCTACTTTTTTTTTGCTCTGTTCTATTTTCTTTAGTATTTTTGTGCTTTTACCGTTGTTTTCGGCATCAGTAGCTCTCACAGCATCAGCAGTTGGTACATCAATGTTATTTAATTCAATTCGTTCTGCGAAATTTCCTTTATCATTCTCTTATTCGCTCGCCAGTGTTCCAAAGCAACCTGCTTCCTTCCTATGCTCTCTGCTATGCTTTTGCTCTTATTCACAATGCCGCTCTATTCATACTCGTATAATAATTTTATTGTTGTCATTTTAATCCTTACATTTTTGTTTGCTTATCTTTTTTGTATTCCGCCCACATTTGTTATGCCAAAAGCGTTTTGTCTTTCATCCTGTGTGTGGCCTGTCTGCTCTACGGAATTGTGTCGTTTTATTTTTGTGGCTTTCTCATTGTGTTTGTATACTTTTTACACTTTAAAACTGTCGCGACTCATGAACTCTTCAACTTTGATTTGTGATGCTGCACTCACTCAGTGCATGTCAAAATGTCAAGTGTTACTTGTAGTTGTTGTTATCCTGTCGGCTATCGAGTGCATGAAGCTGCAGTTTTTCTCTTAATGAACTGTCAATTTGCCCACATAGCCATGGAATGCCAATTCTTGTGTTGTCTCTTTCCCTCTGATTGATCAGGGCGTGAATATTTAAATAACGGTAATTGAAGTAGAATGGGTGAAAAAAACAACCAAAGGACATTTCGTATGATTTTGGTTTTGTTCGATAAAGGTAAAAACGCAACGAAGCATTGTAAAAAAAAACAGTTTGGAACCACTTGAGAAAGCCTGGATACACAAGCAGTTCAAAAAACCTCGTAGACTGAATTTCCAACCACAAATCGCTACTGAAACGTTACAAAATAGACCTATTTCGGAAGCGGATGGTGACTGGTAATGGTAACGTCAATACAAGCGCTCGTAGCCGAAGAGCAGTGAGCCGACACAAACGGTCTCAAGACAGGCTTGACAGCCAGAGAGGTTCTATTGAGTGTTCGATAGGATTGGCAAGGGATCATTCACTATTAACTGCACTCCTATGGTCAAACTCTTAATGCGGACCTGTATTGGCAGCAATTGGATCGGCTGAAGGAATTCATCGCCCAGAAGCGCGCATTTTTGGCCGAAGGTAGGGAAATGGTATTTCACCAGTTTCAACGATTGTGACTAGACAGAAGATCCGAGAGATCGGTTGGGAGGTTTTTGTGCATCCATCTCATAGTCCGGACCTCAAATCAAGTCTTTACCTTATGTTCGTTTCTATGACGAATAATTTGTTAGGAGGAGAATTGGACTAAAAAGAAGACTATGAAAAGCGATTGCTATTAAGAGAGAGAGAGAGAGAGGCATAATGATCGGATAAGTCTAACTATTCTAAAAAAAAACTATTCTTCAGTTTAGTACAAAAATAATGGATTACTTTTGACAAGACTAATATAATAGGAAATAAAGAGGATAGAGAACTAACCTCACCGTAGCACCTGGGAGTTAGAGGTTCAATGATATGCCCCTGGTAATATATATCTGTCGAAAAAATCGAATCATAGATTCATAAGAGAGTCAAGTGGAGTTATCCGAACCAAAACCACTTTTCCAACTCTGGAACTCTAAGGAACTCAGGATATCTAGTTTACGTCGGAAGGCTCATCAGTTTCTAGTTAAATATCAGACTGGAGATCGATGGTAAGGCATACGTCTCCAGTGTCACTACGAAAAACACCTCTTGTTGTTATTTTTATTTCATCTAACAAATGCCTTTTATAACAGATGTCCGACTGAAGATCGAAGATGCATTGTTGTTGCGAATCTTTTATTATACAAAAATAGTTGTATGCGTCAGGCAATTAAATTGAAAGTTAATGAACATTTCTTGCATAAATTTTCCTTGATTTCATTAATTACGAAATTCCGCATTAGAAGCATGTTTAGCTTTCATTCACACCTCTCAACACACATGTTTAAACTTTTGATACCAAAAATATTTTTCAAAAACACATAAGTACATACTCGAATACGAGGGGATTAACAGAAGTTCTGTGAGTTGGAGACTTTCAATTTTGTTTTTGTTAAATCTAAAAATACCAAATTCTTTGCAATTATTTTATTATAGGCCTGTTAATGGGCAAATGAGACCCTAAAATGTTCTTTTCAAAGAAATATTCACTGACGGTCTCTGTAGAAATCAAAAATGAAAAGGTATAAATAAGAAAGCTTAGTAATTAAAAGCTCAATGAGAACACCGGCAAAAGCAGAATGTAATTTGTGTGCGAAAACTGAAACATACAAAACAAATAACAAATACATAAATACTTCTATGAAAATAAAAACAAAAGTATTTTTGAACAAAAAACGTCATGCTTGAAAGTGATGCATCATCTGATGGTGACAGATATATTTAATAAAAATAAGTAGATATGTTTTTTTTTTCTCTTTTATTAGCCATACACTACATATAATTATGGTTAAAACACCTACATATGTATGTATGTTTGTATATGAATATCATTATAACTATAGGAAGGTGATGGTATTTAACGGGTGCCTCAACATATGTGAAGTGGTTCGAAGTAATGAAATTTCGGAAAAAATTAATTGTCTAAAACTCAAAAGTTTTGCGTTCCATTGCGGAAGAAGTTGAGATTTCTTAAATATAATTTTTTTTTATGGATTTATTTATTTATTAAATATTTTTGCACAAAAATCAATACCCTCCGCTTAAAAAAAAATAATTTTACACAGTAAATGCGTGAAAGAGTAGCAAAGTTGTCAAAAATATATATTTTTTAAAGGTGATTTCAGTAGAGTCGATAATTTGAGAAATTATGGATAGCCGAGTGGTTAGCATTGCGTAGTGCTTTCGGAGAGCTCGGGTTCAAAACTCGGCGTGGACTATCATCCAAAAAGTTAAAGAAAATTAATTTAAATAAAAAATTAAGTTAAAATTTCTACTTGCGTTTTCCTGTCGGCAGGGAATTTAAACCCCACCGAGTGTTTTTCTGACATGAAATAAAGCCTCCATAAAAAACCATCAGCCATTCGGAGGCGGCGTAGTATAAACTGTAGGTTCCTCCATTTGCTGGAAAAAAACATCAAGACGCAAAACCACAAATTAGAGGAAGAGCTCGGCCGAAAAATCGCTTCAGCGGTTCCAAAGCGCCACTTATTGTGTATATGAATCAGTTTTGCACCGTCTTTACTCTGGTAGGTAGAGCGCATCTTCAGATATCTCGTACAGTGCGCACCGATGACGCTTTTGATACTGTAGAGCAGAGTATCGAAGGCGACCTGATTGAGTCCATCAGCGAACACATGAAAAAACTGGAGCTAAGCCCATTCACTTTATGGAAAATCTTGTGGAACGTTACTTGGTTTTCGGGTTTACAAAATCGAGCTCGTGTAAGAATTGAAGCCGGATCAAATGGTCACACAAAATTTAGTTCAGCGATGAAGCTCACTTTTTTTTTGGGTTGAATGAGTACGTTAATAAACAAAATTACCGCATTTTGAGTAATGCTAATCCACAAGTCATTCATGAGAAACATCGTTAAATCCTTAAGAATTCACTGTCTTGTGTAGTCCATGGTCAGATTAAATTATTTGTCCACATTTCTTCGAAAAATGAAGTCGGCCATAATGTCATTTATCGCACGTCAAAGGCTGTGGTGTGATCTCCAAATCGTGCGATTTAACACCGCTGGATTATATTTGGTGAGATTATGTGAAATGGCTTGTCTATGCTGATAAGCTCTAGACGAATGACGTCTTGGAAGAGAATGATTGGCGTTTCATTCCTGGCATAAGTCCAATTGGGTTTCTCGGCTGGAATTTATTTGGGCTAGTCGTGGCGGTCACTTGTTCGAATTCATTTTTAAAACATCATGGCAAACCATTATATTTACATGGCGCAAAAAACACCTTTTAGTGTGAAAAGGACTTTCAAATTCACAGCTGTTGCAGCATAAAATTAAAAAATTTTTTTTTTTTGATTTCTCAAACCGCACCCTGTAGGCCAACATATGTGCAAGCGTACATACATATATATGTATATGCTTATTTTGTGAATTTTACACATCTGTTTAGCATTTGATAAATACAATTTATACAACATTTAATTTACGTATGTATCCGTACATATGTTTAACAAAAACTAAACACACTACTCTACTATATTATTTATAAACTTTTATTTTTAGATTTTATTGTTTTATTGTTTTTTTTTTCATTTTTGAAATCGCCTACCAATTCGAATTGCTCATTTTGTGAACTCATTATTGAAATCAAAATGTTAATTGTTTCATTATTAGTCATTTTCACACACATTTTCGCAAAGGAATTTAAAAATATTCTAGAAATGTTTTCAAAATAAAAAAACCTAAAAAAAAAATAAACAAAAAAATAAAAATGATGTTTAAAGAATTATGGCATGCTAAAGGTGGGTTGTGCATGGTGGGAAGTAAAGCGTTTAAAAATAGCTGGAATATATATATATATATATATATATATATACATACATATATGTGCACAATAAAAATTGTATCTCTTTTTATTGTCTCACAAATAAATTGTTTATTATTCAGAAAATGAATTTTTCAAAAACCAATACTATTGTAAAATGTCCATTTTTTGGAATAACATCGAGACGCAAAATAATAAATTGGAAAATCGCTTCAGCGTTTACAAAGTACCAAATATATACATATATATATAATACTAAAATATTTACGAATTATGTATGTCTGTCAGCTTTTCCGCTTCTCGTTTGTTCCATATATTTCGAGAGACCTATGAGATACTTCTTTTAGATATATATTTATAATATATACACGATGAGATACAAGAATCCCAACTCATAAAATAGTAAATTTTGTTTTTATTTTGCTCACTTTGTTGGCTTTTGTTTAATAATATTTTATTTATTAAGCATATTATGCTTGTTTGTAAACAAATCTTCCATGCTTATTTTGAAGAAATATTTTTAAAAATTTCATAACATTTTTGAATTGTTCCGAAATTAATTTCTTACCTATAAAACTTCATAATAATAATGCATTTTAATGTTTGTGGATTTCGAAAACAGATGAAGTGATGTTTTAGCTTGCCATGAATACCCAAGTCACTATTCTCCCACTATGATTAGACCAAACAAGTATCAAGAGTCGAAGGTCTAACTGCTGAGCTATGCAGCCTTTTTGAAAACCATGATGGGACGTTTGATTTTGGATCTACCATTCTCGTACTCACGATGCGCGAGCTCTTGAAATCTATGTAGACCCTTGAGAAAAGGATTCGCACTCACATACACTTCGTCGATTATAAAACGTCTTCTAGAGGATGAAATGGAGCTTTCTTCACGTTGCTGAAAAGCTTATGTGGCTGTATAAAGAGGTATTCAAAAAAAGATTAATAAACTCCATCCATCTCGATTCTTAAAGCCGTCTTCGGCAGTATAGAAATGAGCTGAGCCTCTGCCGCTATGCGTGTGATTGATGTCCCCACAAAGTTTGAACGGCAATGTGGACTAAACGAAGTTTAAGGCAACTTCTTCCACTTAACGCTGGAGAAAATAAAATGAGCTGCAGTCCTAATCAGGAAAGGTAGAATCTTCTACAAATGAGTACAACTGCCCTCCTATACCAATGATATTGACCTCACTGACTTCAACAACCAGCTTTCACCTTCCTGGGTCTGATAGTGAAAGAAAAAAAAGAAAAATATGCACAATAATATCTTGGCTACTACGTCATTGTTTACAGTTATAACTTAGATAATTTCGTCTTTTGAAGAATCTGCAGTAACATCAGCAACAATGTCAGTCTTGAAAACCAACACAGAATCACTCTCATGACGAACAAATACTAATCATCTTTCCGTACTACCGAAAGCGAATACCGTAAACAACCGAACGATAAGCTGTTGAAGCCGAAATTGATCGATTCGGAGTGAAGTCGGAAACGGTAGCTTATAGAGTTATAATCTTCGGAGGTAGCATATGTCAGGAAATACCTGCTCTCCGTTGAAAAGAACTGTTGAAGAAGGATCTGGTTTCATTTGGTGCAAAAAAAGGTCGATGTGACATTGTCAAATCGAAAGTGATTTAGGCCCCTTGTCATAGGGAAACATCAGGGAACTGTGTACTCGATTAACTGTCCAGAAAGAGTACAGTCATAATCACAGTAAACTCTGTATAAGACGTAGGCAGATCACAACCCTCGGAAAAGTGTCTAAAAATGACCAGCAGTAGATGGTATGGTGAAACCACTTGCAATGTGACCAGGCAAATCTGGCCATTGATCAAAGTAAGCAGAACTAAGACTTAACTTTTCTAAATAATGTAATAACCGATCTACACGTTCTTATGGGGACTCATGGTAGAAGGATGAGTTGCTTCTGAAATGACTTCTGCCGCAGCTGCATTGGAATATTACCTCTGCCACTGTCCAGTTCTCTGTGTATCGGAAATTTCTTCTGCGATTACATTGTAGAGCTTGCATCGGTAGGCATTTTTAATCTCATCTACTCATAACTGGTACTCGCACGCTCGTTCATTGCTCATTGTTCGAAAATTTTTGAGCGTGAGATCGCGCAATTCGGGCTTTCTCGAGTATTTTGATTAAAAAATTTCACTTTTTTCCCAGAACTTTTTTCTATAATTTTAATTTTATTTATGTAAAGTGTAAAATTCATTAAAATTCTAAAGAAATTTTGACAAACAAAATTGAATTTTGAAAAATTTCCAACTATCATTTGAACAGTTGAGTAATGAGCGAATATCGAGTTGCTTACAGTGATCGATACCTACCCTAGAGCTCTAGTCTAAACCAAAAGATATTTTCTTTGTCTCTTTGTCGATTAGGAAAGTAGGTAAATATGAAGTCTGTCCATAAATGCAAAAAATAAAAATATCGGACCTCTGTTATGAATCACTACAACGAGGAACTCTAAAGGCAACTACCTAATGATCTAAGAAGACCCTAAAATTATCCATAGCATGCTGAGTCCAAGTCAAGCAAGATGATCGGGATGTCATAAATTCTTTCATAAAACACAATAAATAAAAACAAATAAATAAATGGTTTAAATTGTAATACTTTTCTATTAAATTGTCTGGGAAATTTGTTGCTAAAACCAAAGTGTTTTCATTCTGCTATTTTAATTAATTATTACCAATTTACTAAAAATATTTCTGAATTCAATTTTGTTGCCACGATGCACTCACGAGCACCTTTCTAAAAAAAAAAAAAAAAAAATAAATAAAAAAAAATAAAAAAGATTAGAACACCTCTAACCCCACGCACGCCTCCTCGGCTATTTTCCGCATAGCATAAGCGATTTGGATTGGCGTGAAAATTGCCAACAACATGAAATGACGCTTCCCTAAAAATAGATACGAAATTTTTCATTTAATATTTTTAAATGAAAATCATCTCGAAAAACAGCGAACAAAAATTCGAAAACACAAACAGACTCGCTGGCGTATAAAATCAGCGTTCACCAAGAATTCTCAGTTCAAAATCGTAGCGAACGCGTAGCGGTAAAGACGCGCACAACCAAAGAAAACACGCTAGAAAAGTGCAGAAGCAGTGTGAATAATTTCTTCAATTCTTTAAAAAAAAGGTGAATCATTGTGGAAAATTACAGGAAAAAAATTATTATTAGAAATTTTCTAAAACCATACAAATTTTTGAAACACAAAATTCATTTAAAAAATTAACTGAAAAGTGCTTATTTCGGCTTAAACTAATAAATTATCGTATTGGTGGTGATTTTATTAATTACCATTAGTGTACTTCTCTACTTTCCATTTTCGGGATTTCAACAACAACTCAATCACAAACCAACAAATTCCTGCCCGTTACCTTGCTTAACCACGTAACGGTATAACACGAATACATTTTCCGATTTCAATTGAACGTCGTAGATGTCAGTAGTGCCACTCATGTTCCGTGACTGGTGGGATGATTTTGAATTTCCAACGCGCACATCGCGCCTCTTGGACCAACATTTTGGCACTGGCCTAAAGTAAGCACAACAAAAAAAATTATAATATTAATGAAAAAAAAAGAAATAAACAAAAGAGGATCCAGAAAATATTTTTTTTACTAACTTACTCTGTCAACCCCAACAGACGCGATGACCTACTCTCATCCGTTTGGAGCTCCCGCCCGACAATGCTGCGTTCCGGTTACCTGCGTCCATGGCAGCGTTCACCGACCAGCTTGCAAAAGCAAGAATCTGGTTCCACACTGAACATTGACAATGAGAAATTCGAAGTCATTTTAGATGTACAACAATTCACTCCAAACGAAATCACTGTCAAGGTGACCGATAAATTTGTGCTCGTCGAGGGTAAACACGAGGAGCGTCAAGATGAGCATGGTTTCGTGTCTAGACAATTCTCCAGACGTTATATGCTGCCAAGTGAGTGAAAAGGAAATAATTCAATTTCTTTAACTTTATTTAATTATTTTACTCTTACTCCGTCTTCAGGTGATGTTAATCCCGACAATGTGACCTCATCTCTCTCTTCAGATGGCTTACTTACCATCACTGCTCCCTTGAAGAAGCTGCCACCTCCAGCCACCGAACGTGTGGTGCCCATCTCACAGACTGGCCCATCCTCGAAGGAGGATAATGCCAAGAAAGTTGAGACTAGCACCGCTTAAATTACTTGAACGATTTTGTAGCAAACAGACTGTTTTCCATTTTGTATAATTATTTTGAATGCTAATCATTTATTTATTATTTCGTAATTTATTTTTATACTAAAGAAGAAAAAGTAAAAAAATTAAAAACTAAAAACTTAAATTTGTTTATTTTTTTATTGGGTGGGATTTGTGGTTTGTTAACTACAATAATTGTCATGATAGTTATATATTATATAAAAGGTTATCGAAATCTTCTTCTTATTCTACAACTCTGCCATCTCCGTCAGAGTAGTCCCCTTGGGCAGCTATACAACGATTCCAGCGCGTTTTTCATGCTTCGTAACATTTCTGGAAGGCTTCGACTGGGATGTGCGCGATTACCCTGGTCACAGCCGCCTAAATGTCCTTAATCGACTCAAAATGGGTTTCTTTGACCACCGACATAAACTAGATTTTTAGCGCTCTCTAGAGTATCCTAAGTACTCGTCTGCCATAGTTCATTAACTCGCTGCCGTAAGACAGTTTTTTGAGGCTGGCGCATGGAAGTAATGTCGTTTTGACTAGCCGCAACAAATAGGCTACTCCGTCCACCATACCTTAATACAATGTCCCGTCGAAGTAGTTACAACATCAAAAATATTAAGCTCCATCTGACCATTCGTCAGTTTCAGACTCAATTTGAAAGCGATGGAAGATTTGATTTCTTGACGTCAACAGCCCATTCGGAAGCCGCTGTAAGTGTCATCTGGGCCGCAGTTTTATCACATTCTACAACGCAATAATCAGGAACTTGTGTTTTTCACTGTATTCGTTTGAGACCGTCTATTAATTGTCTGTTGAGATGTTTTAACATATTTGAAATTAGAAATCACATGTCCTTGCTCCTTTCTTCCCTCGCCTGTATCGCAGAACCTCAGTTCCCTGCCGCAGAGGTAGGTAACTTGGCATGAGTTCCTTCGTTCCTTGAAAACACCCGCGTTGATTGATTTGTTTGCATATGGTCTAACAGACAAGAGAGAGAGACTTGAATTTTTCGAATCAAATATGGAATGGCATATTTAGAATTTGATTTTGGTATGTAAGAATTTGACACCGTGGAATTTCTAACAACACGTTCTGACTTACACCGACTTCTGCCGAGGTTTGTGACATGGAAGGTAGTTCTATGTCTGAGCCTATGCCAGATCTTTCTGGTAGATTAAAAGTAGCATGCTTACCACAATTGGTTGAGGTCTGTTGATTAATATTATAAATACTCGATCTTGAGTCTGGGGTGGAGAGTTAAAAGTTGTTGTCCTACAGCGCCTATATCGCTTTTGTGTACCTAGTAAAACATGCTCAAGTTTCGTGCTTTGAGAGGAGATTCATTCAAGAAATTTTCAATTTTTTATTTGAGAGAAAGGTCTGTGCCTCATCATTTTGCTTGTTTCACCTCAAATATCGCTATTGTACATAAGTGAAAGTGAACGTATGTTCGTATGACTAACGGCATGAACAATATGTAATCTCAGCAAGATAGTGCCACATGTCACACAATACAAGCGAATTTGGCGTTTTTGCGATTAAAATTTCTCGACCACGTAATACCTTGTCTTGGCGATTGGATACAGTTGGACTTTTTTTTGTGGGGCTAAAGACCGTATATTTGAGAATTTGGAAACCAACATTCGTCAAGTTGTGCTTGAGAATCGCCCAATGCCACAAAGTGGTCGAAAAATACCTCAAACGGATAGATGTTGCAAAGGTTGTCGAGACGGTCCTTTGTATGATATAGGGTTTCCCAAATAATGCCAAAGCTCAAAATTAAAAAAAAGGAAAATAAATTTCTTAAAAAAACAATTTTAAATGTATTTTAAAATGGATAACCCTCTACATACTCTCTCACCCAAAAGTGTGTTGCGGCATGTCACTCCTTATAATTTTCCCATCTTATGTCATCGTCCCTAACAAACATAACTCAGACTGGCAATTTAGTTACTGAATTACCGTGATTATCGTATTTTTCAAATTGCCTTATTTGGGAGATGGCTGTGTTTTTTGCTATATTTCATCCATTTGAAATAGCGTCCGTACTTGTGGCCCAAGGAATATGGGAACCAATCGTCATTGAAATATCTCAATCGCCCCTGCGGGTTAGGAGTTCAAGAATTTTCCCGTGGTAAGCCATGTTTGAGAACTGATTGGCGCTATCTAATTCTCTATCATTGAAGCATGGTACACTCTCTGTTATGCTGCAATCGAGTATAATAACGGTACATTTGATCACCTGATGATCTCCCAAAACTTCAAATGTAATCTATTCATACACATGTTTGTGTAAGTGAAATTTATTATGCAGATTTTATTAATAACTAACACCATTCTACATATATAAACATAAATATACGTATGTACATATGTAATTATGATAATTTAAGCAGTAGATATACAGACAAAATCTGATTCTGTTATATAATTGGGTAAATATTAACAAAGCAAAACTAAAGTAGGTTGATTTGTATATAAATTCATACATATACGTACATATACATACATGTACCGACATTATGGTGAGCTCAAACCATTTCGATATTTTTAAGACTTAAGAGCTACTTTATAATTCTTTTATAACTGATTCTTAACATAAAGGTTAAAGAAAGTTTTTGTCCACACAACGACAAAAGATCCTCTAATGGGTTGTAGATGATCGACTCTCGGGCCTCGAATTATGATTATCCGTAGGACTAGATTTCAGCCCAAGTAAGCTCATTAAGCCACTGCTGCCGAGTGGTTAGCATACTGCACAGGTACTCGGAAGGCCCGGATTCAAATCCGAAACTTATGGAAAAGTTATTTAAATAAAAAAAAAATTAATTAAATTTTATAATTACAGTCGCCCCTCGGCAGGGAATGTTAACCCCTCCGAGTGTATTTCAAATCAGAATCACCTTATAAGAATCCATCGGCCATATGGAATCGGGTTAATGCAAAAAACAAAACGCAGAGGTGTTAAAATATGCTGCATATCTTTCAACGCTGTGATTGATCCCTACTCGAGTCGTGGAAAAGTCCCGTGTAAAGAAGATCAACTCATACCATCTCTGTATTGATTTTAAAGCATTCTTCGACAGCACGAAAAGAAGTTTCCTCCCAAAACTTACTCGTTTCTGTAAACTGACGTTAAGAAAAACCAAATGCTCCGTCAAAATCGGGAAGGAACTCTTGCGATTCCAAATAAGGTTTCAGACAAGGTCATTAATTATCTTGTGATTTCTTTTTTTACCTTAAATTTGTTACCTGTTGGCCTAAGCGGGGTTAGGTCGCCAAAAGGGTGATTGGTCGGATAAAACACGGATCAACTCCGGTACGTAGAGCCGGCTGTCTTGATAGTCGCTGTGATTTCTTTAATTTGTTGCTGTAGAAAATAACAACTAACAGCTGCTGGCTCGGATTGAGTAGGCAATCGAAAAGTAAAGTCAACTCTTGACGAAGAAAGACTACACGACAACATTTGATGAGTCGGCGTCGTGGTTTTGAGAGAAATGCTTCGCTTAAAGTTTACAGTCCTTTGCGCATTGGCAACGGCGAATACTGCAGTCGATGGAACGGTGAGCTGTACAAGTTATACGACGACACTGGCAAAGTTCATCGCATAAAGATACAGTGGCAAAGAGTAATTCAGCTTAGCAAGTTTTCGCTGAAATACCTGGCCGGTGAGAGCAGAGGCACAGGAAGACTTGCACTCCGATGCAAAGAACAGCTGGAGGAGCATCTCTTCACATTCGGCATTTCCAATTGCCGTCGAACAACGAAAAGAACGAGGGAATGACGCACATTTAGTATCTCGGCCATGATCGCGAAAGCGGTGTCTACGTCAGAAAAGGAAAATAACAAAAAATTAAATTTAATGGTTTCAATTTCTCCTCCTGTAAAAAACTTTAACTTAACTTACTTTCCCAATCATAAATGTCCCACCCTAATGTTATGGGTAATTTGTTTAGAAACTCCACACATACATACGTATGCGCTGTATATACTCAGCCAAACATACTTTACACACAAAAACTGATAACATTGCCACTCAAAAGTACCACTCTCAACGAACGGAGAGCCCACCAAAAGCAAATACGCCGCGATAGTTGTGCGTCAACTTTTGTACAGAAAAGACATAAAATACATACACCCTTTGTATTCAAATTAATTTCATTCAATAAACTCGTAACGGGATTTGTTAACATACCTGTACGTACAAACATACGTCCTCATACGTCAGAAATGGATCGTGTTCCAGTGCAACCAAAATCATATCCCACGAATTTACTACAAAAAGATTGGACAAAGAGAGCGATCTATGAACGCTGCGGCCAAGCGTTCGTCGATAAAGTGCACGATATGGAGGTTAAAGACGATGACGTTTGGATTGTAACATTGCCGAAATGTGGCACGACGTGGATGCAAGAACTGTTGTGGTTGGTAATGAACGATTTCGATTTTGAGGCGGCACGCAATGAGCATTTGGAAGTGAGAACGCCATTTTTGGAGTGAGTACTTTATTTTGAAGAGAGAATTGGCTCTCTATAGTTTATAACGGAGTATACGTATGTATGTACTTATCTGTATGCAAGGGCTTTGGTAATTATTCGGTTAATCACATACTCGTGTTCGAGAATTGTATGCGAATAGTTATTCCCACTCGAAATTTCGATTCGGCTGCCTTTCAGCGTGTCTGAGGAATTCTTATTCATAGCCTTCAAAAAGTTCACCGTTAGTCGCAACCTTCTACCAACTGGCGGAAGAATGATTTTGTCATTTGGTATTAAAGGGTTTTCAAAAATATTTCTTACTCCTGTGCTTAGTGAATGATTTTTTTTTGGGTTGAGATCTGACTTCTCATCTTGTTATCAAACGACTGGGACCATATTTGGAAGACAATGAAAGTGGGAGGAAATTTGGACTTTCTGGTGGTTACCCTAAAGGTTTTTTTCCCATAAAATTTAAGTAACTCTCTATAACCTGTCTTAGACCAAGTTGGAGACGAGTTGGAGGCGCACCCTTAGTGGTTGTGCGTGGTGCTTGAAACTTATAACATAAGCCAACCTGCTCCATTTAAAAGAGAAAAACCAAAATGCCACGGATAAGTGACCCCGTACAGTTGAAGACCCCTGAAAACGACCTATAACGGGAATGTGTCGCTGTCTGATCTTTTCCAAACTCTTGTCGGTAAGATCAATAATAATCTTTCAATTATTGCAGGAATCTTTATACAGATCATCTCATAACTATTGTAATGAGTAAGGGGTTGATACTTTCGTCTGCCTAAGGTCGAACATTAACACCAATTAAAATCTCAGCCTCGAAATCGAATGGGGAATCTAGCTTATGTTGGCGCTGTTTTTAAATGAGCAGACAATTAAAAAAAAAAATTACTCTCTCGGGGAAAGAGATTTTGCTCTACAGGTCACTCTTCATACAGTGGTATGTAGAAGGATAGTCTATGAAAACATGGAAGAAAAAGATGAAGACGCAAAGGGACTTCTTTTACCTAAATCTGATTTTGTATTTTTTAAGTAAGTTTCTTATTTTTTCTATTACAATTTTGTTTGAACATTTTCGAGCAATTCGAGAAATTGAGCAAAAAGTAGTCGCACCTTTGCTCAGACTTTCGATTTTTATTCTGAGATTTCAATTGCTCAAAAGTTCTAAGATTTCAAAGAAAAACATCAAATGACTGCCTCACATATTTTTGTAAACTTAGGGCCATTCGAAGTAATTTTCGATAAATTTTTGGCACATGTCAGTCGGTATCTTAGCCATAACTAGACTATTAATGGTTTTCAAGTGCTCAAGGGTTAAAGGTATATCCACATAAGCACGGTCTTTCTTGTCGCCCGACAAAGAAGTCCAATGATTTCAATTCGCACAATCTCGTTGACTAATCAATACGAGAGATTCCACAACAGGAAATCCATATTCGTTCGTGTTGTGGAGCATGTTCATTTGTAGACCAGAAAGATAGGTTATCATGTGACCATAACCCTCCGAACGACTCGCCGTTGTTGTTTTCGAAGAAGTACATATGTAACGTCCAATCACACCTCTGGATCGACCAAAAAGTGAAAGCTTTTTTGTGTGTAATAGTTCCTCTTTAATTATTTGAGGATTTTCGGTGCCATTAATTCAACAATTTTGCTTCTTTCCGTGCCTCGTCGCTGAAAAAAAAAATTTCGTTCGAAAAATCCCCATCCACTGCTTGTTACTCAAGTACCCAATCGACTTTGTAACTGGTTATCAGTTGACCTTTGAGCTCGACTTGGATGTTAGTGTAAGTCCAAGTGATGTGCCATAAGAAAGTCCCAGCTTTTGAGAACATCGAGAAATAGACACAGTAAAGATATTTGAGGTGGAACGAACAAAGCGATGAGGCACAGATCTTACAATAGCTGTAACCCGTCCAGTCTCTCTCTCAAAAAAAGTTAGAAATTTCTTGAATGAATCTCCACACAAACTTGGGCACATTGGAATCATCATTTTTGTAGTAGATTTTAACAGTTTTAACGCATTGTGCGGTTAAGTGATTCATTTCATAAATGCCTGACTTTTAGCTAAAACAAAACATGTTTGCTTTGACAGATTCCAAAATACAGTTTACTACTTTTTTAACCACGAATAAATCCCTCCAACTCTGTTCAACATCTGCAGAAGATCTATTTCACCACAATGGAGCAGGCGACCTCACTTGGTGCATAGGCTTTACCTTAGAGTCATTAGACAGTATGGTGGGTAACAATAAGAAAGAAGTGGCGAATTAAACCTTTGGAACAGTTGCAAGTTACCTTGGTTTATTTTGGATTACCACAATTTAAGCCCAGGAAGTCATCCTTGTCATTACGCCATTAATTTACAAGTATTGTATGAACCAACACTAACAGCTAGCAGCTTAAATGCTTTAGAAAATTCTGTCTGGTCTCATAGCTGTGGAGGACAGTTGGATCGGAATTAGTCAAAATATCTATACAGTTCTTCTGAGACCATTTTAACTTCCAAACCAATGTGACTTCAAACTTAATGACTACAACTCCGTCTTCCAAGAAGAGATATTGCGTATTATGCAACTGTTCTAATAGGAAGATCTAACAGGTTTCTGTTTTCTGGCAATTAAGTACAACAGTACCAAGTCCAAATGACCATCGCTTGAAAACACAGTATATATTATTCAGTTCCCAGGTCACACGGATATAGAAGGCAATGAAAAGGCGAATGATGTGGCTGGCACTGGTCTCTCTGGCGAGGCTGTCAGGTTAAATGCCTCAAATCTTTCAACGTCGTCAGATGTTGCCTCAAGTACTGTACCATGGGGGGAAACTTAACGTCCTGAAACCCTACGGTAGTGTGACGCACCACCAAATTATTGTGCGGCAGTGTGGCTTGTGGACAGAGCAAAGTTTGACAGATTTCAAAATGCTTTTAGGGTGTGCTTTTAATACCACGAAATGGATAACCCTATATAATCCAATGTTAAAAAATTTTATTATCAAAAAGCGTACTCTGTTAATAAAGTTCATCGCGCGCTTCGAAGCTCATTGCAAAGCAGAATTGATCGATTTTGGAGTGAAGATCAGCCAAAAGCAATGCAAGAGCTACCAATGCATCCCGAAAAAGTCACAGTTTGGTGCGGTTTATAGGCTGGTGGCATCATTGGACGGTACTTCTTCAAAGCTGATGCGAATCGAAACGCAACTGTAAATGGTGAGCGCTACCGTGAGATGATATCAAACTCTTTTTTGCCCAAAATGCAAGAGCTTGACAAGGATGACATGTGGTTTCAACAAGATGATGCCACATGCCACACAGCACGCGTAGCAATGGAGTTATTGAGAGGCGAGTTCGGTGAACATTTTATTTCACGTTCGGTACTGGTCAGATCGTAGCCTAGATCGTGCGATTTAATACCCTTAGAATATTTTTTATTGGGCTATGTTAAATCTAATGTCTACAGAGATACGCCCGCTTTAATTAACGCATTGGAGGACAATATTGAAGCATTACTTCGTGATTTACCGGCCGAAATGTTGGAAAGAGTATTCCAAAAAAGGACTAAGCGGATGAACGATTTGAGGCGCAGACGCGGTCAATATTTGCATGAAATAATCTACCAATATTAAATTATATGGACCATACTATCGATTCAAGTAAAGATTTAATGCATTTTCTGAATTTTATGTGTTGTTTTTGAAAACATTCCGATGGCTCTTAAAAAATTACCCTTTATTTACACATATTTGCCATTTACAAATAACAAATATTAATTTCCACAGATTTGATTTTCTTATACACAAGGATTTGAATCGCGCACTCGCCCCCGTCGAAGCGCTTAAATCACCGCGTCTCATCAAATCACACATGCCATTACCGTTACTACCGCAACAGCTGTGGAGTAAGAAGCCTAAGGTGTGTATGTACATGAATACATTTGTTTGTATGAACAAATATTTATAAAATGCATTTTTCATTTCCATTTCTAACGCTTCATTAAAATTGATTTATTGCATTTTTTATTTTTATTTTTAATTTATTTACTTTTTTTATTTAATTTTTAATTTTTTATTTATTTTTATTTATTTACCTAGCTCATTTACGTTTACCGCAATCCGAAAGATTACATCGTTTCCCGTTATTATCACGTTCGCAGTATCGGCTTCGGAATGAGCACAACTTTGGAACAATTCGTTTTGGAGACTTTAGACGAGGATGCTGATGTGCCATCTGAGGATTTCGAACATGTTGCAGAATTTTATGAATTACGCAACGAGCCGTGGATATTTTATACCAGTTTTGAGCGCATGAAAACGAATTTACGTCAAGTTATTGAAGATATTTGCAAATTTTTAAATAAAACCATAACCGAACAGCAAATGGAGCAGATGTTGAAACATTTGTCATTCGAGGAGATGAAGAGTAAGTCATTTCGCTTTTTTTTACATTAAATTTAAATTTTATAAACAAAATTTAAATAATTTCAATTAGTCACTTTGTTTATCCAAAGTTAAGACCTCTTTGAAAATTACACTGGTAAACCAAATTAAATATTTTTTGTGTCTTGAGGACTTACCTCGTCAAATTTTGATTTAAGGCCACTAAACAATAGAAGATTAATAAAAAATATATATGGTGCGTCAATGAAAACATTGAATTACCTTGGCAGATTTCAACCGATTGCGTGCAGTAAAAGCTTTTTGGAAAGGTTATTCCAATGCAATTTCAGCCATATAGCGCAATACGCCCAAAAGACGTGAGGAAATAGTTACAATGTACATTGAGTGCAATCGTTCAGTTGTTGCACAGCGTGCAAAAAAAAGAACAGCGATGAAAAAAGTCTGAAAAACTTTTGGTTTCAACAAGATGGCGTACCATGTCACACAGCGGGGGTCACCGATAACATTCTTACGGCAAAAGTTCGCCGAACGTGTGGTATCGAAAGGATGGGATATCGACTGGCCGCCAAGGATCGCCCGACCTGACGGCACCAGACTTTTTCTTGTGGGGCTTCTTGAAAGGCAAAATATATGTCAACAAACCGAAAACTTTGGACGAGCTGAAATCGCTGCGATATCGCCCGAGATGCTGGCAAATGCCTTTTTCCATGCCGAAAAAAGAGCGATGTTTTGTTTGCACAATGAAGAAGGTCGATTGATCGATACTGTTTTTCGAACCTAGCTGGAAAAATTGTAAGGCTTTAAATTTCATAATAAAAAAAACTGGCATTTGGAAGACTTGGGATCAAGTCCTGGTGTTGTACTAACATCCAAAAGATATAGAAAATTAATTTAGGTAACAAACTAAGTAAATGTTCTAAACTCTACATCAATTCCGTCTTCTGTTTCGAAAATACATTTTCCCCCAGAGAGGAACAACAAAGAAAGAAAAGCAAAGAAGGTTGTGGAGTTTACGCTGAACCTCTTGCTATAGCATTAAGCAAAAGACTTCCCGACCACTGTAGCGTCTTTCAAGTGGAACTAATCGCGATATTGGCATCTACTTCACGGTAGCTCGTTTCTAATACGATAACTCAATTTATTATAATAATGACAGTCAGGCTTCCATTTAGTCTCTCCAATGCAGTCACACAACCGCAAAGGTGGCAATAAAATGCTGAGAGATCTTAAATATAGTCCTGAATGTATCCGAAACGTCCGTTGTTTGGGTCTCTGGTTATAGGAACATCTCAGGGAACTACATAACCGACGAACTGTACAGAAAGGTAATAATCATAAACACAGTGAACTCTGGACATGTTGTTCGTACTCGTATACTGTTTTCCTCAGCAAGGTATCTGCTAAGGTTAGCCTTCACCAGCCAACAGCGGACCTTATTGACATATTACAACTCAAGGTCTTATAAGATATTCTCAGGGCTGTTTTGAGTTCCGATTTCAATCGAAATTGCATAATAATGTTCTGAAATCCTCTCGGATTTAACCAGGATTTTAGTTTGAATCCGATTTTCAAAAATTCCTATTTATCGAAAAAATTTTGATGGAAAAAATCCAACGAAGTTTTAGTTGGTGTACTGAGTCGGTTCTTTTCGAGTTCTTATGCTATGAAGCATACAAATCTTAGAAATGCGGGTAAATTGTATCAAATGTTCCTGGTGACCAGCTCTCAAAATTGAACTTAACAACAAAACAATCGAATTTTCAAATCGGATTTTCATTTTGCTCGAGTTTCTCAATTCCACAGAGGATTTTGATACCGAGTCGGAAATCCAAATCAGTGCGAAATTAAATCCAATCGGATATCAGAACAGCGTCGTATGCTGATTTTCTGATTTAAGGTTTCCAAGAAAGTTTGGGAAAACATAAAACAATCAAGTTTTTCCTTTCCATTCTGTTTTCCTTCATAGGTCTTTATAAGTTGCTGTGTTGTGAACTAGCAAACATTCTATCCTCAATTTTTACCTCGTTAAGTTTCGGGAATTTTATTTTCTGGATGTTACATTGACTTAGAATAAAATTTGGCATAGGTAGCTCGGCTCTCTGTAGGATGGATCTTTTGTCTGAAGGCGAGAGTAGAACGTGAATGAGGTGTTTGGATTTGGTTGCAATACGAGATCCTTTGGTTCCGTCCAAATCATTGTTATAAACATTAAAATCTGGAAATCCTACGCAGAACCGTGTCTGCCAAAAGGTGCTACTTTGGTCTGAGTTGGTAATTGAAACATTAAGTTCTCTCTTGATAAACATATACCAAACTCTACAAGTCGTTCATCTCCTTTGTATTATTAAATTGGACCTCCATCTGGTGCTGCAAAAAATTAAATGATCTATGTAAAGTGTAGATTCAAACCTAACCTCTAGCCATTAAGATCTATTTGAGGTTAGGTGGAAAAATTATTGCATAATCACGAGATGAGATTTATTTAACTCAGACAACATTAGTTCAAAATTATTGTTTTCTTTTTATTTTTTTTTTATTTTTTGTTATTTTTTTAAATTTTTTTCATTATTTTATTTTTATTTCAAATTTTTGATTTTAGTTTATTTTTATTTATATTATTATTATTTTATTTTTTTCATTTTTTTAATTAATTTATTTTATTTATAATTTATGTATATTTATTGACTTTCAAACTACCATAATTTATATTAATTTTTATATATTTATATATTTATATAATTATTTACATTTTGCTTCGCAGAAAATCCAAAATTAAATCATCATTGGGAATTCGAGCAGATACGCGCTAAACATCAGACAGAACATGAAAATCATAAGTAAAATAATCTCTTTTATTTATTTTTTTTTTGTTTAAGTGTGTAATTAATTTTTTTTTTAGTTTTGTTCGACGCGGTAAGGCTGGTGGCTATAAGGACGAGCTATCATCAGATATTATTGCCAAAATGGATGAGAGAATCCAGCAGAATCTTGATTACTACAAATTGAGCTTGCAAAAGCTGCTCCTGCTTGATGAAAACACTCCGTTGTGAATGAATTTTTTTACATATTATAAATAAATATACTGAATTTATGCATATTTTATATTGATAATTATTAAATTTTTATTATACAAATATTTTTTTTTTGTTTTTCAAAATAATTAAAAATTTTATACTCAACAAATTATCAAGCTCGTTTTTAATATTATTAACGATGGATGTGTAGTGTATTGCAAGGGTTGCCAAATAAATATTTAATATCATAAGTCAATTCGAAGAAAATTCGTTGGAAGAAGTTTGCAGGTTGAAGAAACAGGATCAATATAGAAGATCAAAACATTCTCGGCCAAATTAGTGGTGGCATAAAAATCAGACCAATATCGTAAATCATAGAAAATATTCAAATGTTTTTTTTGAAATTGCAGACAGCAGGAATATCAACACTTTCGAGTGCATTTTTGCCAGAAGAAAATCGAAGCCGGCTTAAAAAATTGAAGATCTTTCCATTTCTATGAGAAAACATCAAGCCGCACACAACAAAAGTGAAGAAGGAGCTTGTACGAAAACCTTTTAGGAGTTATAAAGCACCAACAGCCTGTCAACAAATCAACTGCGTTTTGTCGTTTAAAAAAGGTTGGGTACACTTTGAAGCTCGATACCTGGGTGCCACATCAGTTGAGTGAAAAAAATAAAGTGGACCGTATGTCAACAGCAATTTCTTTGCTTCGACTGATCAAAAACGAACTTTTTTTGGATCGGCTTGTGACTGGTGATGAAAAATGGATCCTGTACAACAATGTTCAACGCAAAAGAACATGGAAACAGGCACACGAAGGGGCGGAACCGATAACCGATGTCGTAAGGTGGATTGCATCCGATGAAGGTACTGCTGTGCATTTGGTGGGATATCCGAGGCGTGACCTATTTTGAGCTCTTGCCAGCTGGAGAAACGATCACTGCCAACAAGTGTTGTCAGCAATTGGTCGAATTGAAGAAAGCAATTAATGAAAAACGTCCGATTTTGGCCAATCGCAATCTTTTCCACCATGACAACGCCAGGCCACATGTTGCAAAACCGACCCTGGCGACGATCTCCTGAAGGAGATGAATTGGGAAATCATGCCGCATCCCTCATATTCACCCGACATTGCACCTTCTGATTATCATTTGTTTCGATCGTTGCAGAACAATTTGAATGGAAAAAAATTTAAAAATGTGGAAGACGTCAAAAACCACCTGGACACCTTTTTCAACGAGAAACCGCGCGATTTCTATGAATCAGGCATCCGTAAATTGGTTGAAATCGGGCACGAACTTATGCACTCATCCAACATATGCTCTATAGTAAATCTTCCTAGTTTTTGTCTCGCCTCATCTAGAATATGTTTTGGAAATCAACGAGCTTCATTTACGGAGTACTAGAAGAAGTCCCATATAAGGTTTTAGCGTAGAACTTTTAGAAACTAGAACGAGGACAAGAGGAGATATATCTCCTGTTTTTAATTAAATAGTCCGCGCAAGCTTGCCTTGATTTCCATGGGATGATTTCCTCTACTCCTATATATTTTGACCATCTTTAGCAATGCCAGCCTGGAAATCAAAAGCAGAATCACTTTTGTTAACAGGCAATTTTGAAGCGTGAATGTTGACAACATCCGTTGACTTTGCGGTCTTTAAGAGTTTTTGCGGAAGATTTATAGTACACTGAATATGGGCATCGGCGAATAATACAGATGATGGAATGATGAACTGTTGGAGATAATAAGACGACGCTGAAGCGACTTTCGGCCGAGTTCCTCGTTTTCGTCTCGCTGTTTTTCCAACAAATGAAGGGACCTACATTTTAAACTAAGCCGCCTCCGAACGGCTGATGCCATTATTTCATGTCAGAAATACACTCGGAGGGGTTGACATTCCCTGCCGAGGTGTGACCGCAATTAGAAAATTCAGCTTAATTTTTTAATTAAATTAATTTTCTATTACTTTTGGATGGTGTTCGACATTTACACAGTTCAGGGAATTAAGATGCAGCAGTTATGCTAGCTTGGCCTCGTCATCCGTTTGAAAGAGAACACTCCAGAGTTGTAAGTTGTTGATGTAGTTAGTTTAGTAGTAGTTGACGGAAGGAAAGGAGGAGAAAGAGCTTCACTACGGTGCAGGATTAAGTGGAGAAGGATCTGTCTTCGCTTGGTGTCTCTGAGCGGCTGAAAGAAGAAATAATTTGCACGTTATTATTAATTCGGGTACACTCGCGTAAGCAGTACCTACGAAGAAGAAATAAGTGCGGTCTGCCATGGTTGTTCATTTTCAAGTTCATTTATGACCAACTTTTTGGTTATATTCTTTTATATAGCTCATAATATAGACCACACAATATATGAAGTTTGGAGTTCGTCTGTACATTAATTATCGCACCACCGAGTGCATTTATGATATGAAATAAAAGCTCCTCATAAAAAACCCGTCAGCCGTTCGGAGGCGGCTTACTATAAACTGTAAGTTTCTACATTTGTTGGAAAATCAAGAAGACGCAAAACAACAAATTCAAATCGCTTTAGAGGTTACAAAGCGCTAATTATATACATATATAATATATTAGCATTCGTAATTCTATTAAAAGCTTTATGCTGCATGAGCTTTTTTTCTTAACAGAGCTTGCCTGTAACAGAAAGCTAGTTTTTGCCCAAACTCTGTTATTTAAAAGCTTTCTAGAATACTACAATATCAACAAGTACCGTTACACTTAAGTAAGTCTAAAAAGAACCAGCTAAATAAAATTTTTAAATAAAATATATTAAACGAAAACTCAAAAAAATGGTTTAAAAAAATTTATTATAAATTACAAAAGATGTACTCGTATACATATGTACAAAAAAGTGCTTAAAAATATGTGTAAATAAAGTAAGAAATAACGTTAATATTTTGAGTAATTCACAAAGTCATCGATTGTCAGCTGATAGTCCTTCAAATTATCCTCAATCCAGTCGTCAAATTCCTGTATAACCGATTGTGGCAACTCATCCTTGTGACTACCCACAATGCCGCGACGTACAAATCTGCTTTAAAAGTTGAACAAAATAAATACAAATACAAGCAAAGAAGAAAAGGGTTAAATATTTTCTACATAGACCTTTTCAAAGTCAAACATCGAAACACTCCCGGCTTTACCTGAATTCATCAACCTCTCTGCCACTTGCCGCTTTCATACTCTCAAACTCCTTCACATGATTACACGCAGGATTATCTTTCATTTTATCAAAAGAAAGATGCTCCACCAGCTGTGGCAGTCGCTCATCCGGCACATCGCACGACAAAAATTTACCAACATCCTTGATCACGCCCGCCAAGTCACGCTTCATGCGCTCGTAGCTGGTGAAAAAGATTTGTGGTTCGTTGCGTAGCTGCCAGAAATCGAGTACGTGCGGCCAGAATGGATTAAAGTTCACATGACCGTCAATGTAGGAGTGCATGAAGTCCTGTTTGGTGCCCGCATAGCCGACCATGCCGCGCCAGTGATGGAAATGTGAGATGGCGGCATCTTTTGGATTACGAAACACATAAATCACCTGCAAAGGGGAGTGGGAGGGCAGTGGTGGGCGAGTGGAGAGTTTCAAAAAATTATAATATTATTTTATTTTATTTTATTGGCATTATTACTTTTGCTTTCTTGGTCCAAACTTGCTTCGGCAACAGCCAGGCGGGCAAATGTGATTTGATCAAACGCGGTGATGTTAATTTATTAGCCGCTTCGATTGTGTCGTGTGGCACATTTTGTACAACGCCATTGAATCTGTAAAAGAAATCGATTTTCATTCATATATTAGACTATTCACCACCCCTCTGCTTACTCTAAAAACGGCGAACGTATGGTAAGATCTTCAGTTATTGCCTTTTCAAAGTCAAAATTATTCAATATCAGCCATGTCATCTCTTGTGCCCAGGTTGTGCCACATTTGGTACTGGTCACAATCCAAACATCATCCTCGCGCACCTCGAAGTTATACACGCGTTCCAGTACCGGCTGGAAAGTATCGGCCAGTGAGCAATAACGACTCTGCCAGTCTCCTACAACATCCACACTAGGCTTTGACGTCGCATAGATTGCTGAGCAGCCGCCGCTGATGGCAAGTTTTTCGATTTGTTCAAATGGTATGCTTTCAGCGTAGAACGTGGCACTCGGCATCTGTATAGAGAAAGTGAGGGGAGGAGGGAGAAAATTTACTATATTAATTATTTTTATTTTCTTTTATTAGATTTCCAATTGGACCCAGCACAACTAACAAAAAGGAGAGTGGACTTGGGAAGTGGTTGTCGGACCTGCAGGTTGAGTTCTATACTTCAAAAAAACTGAATGTTTAATGTTTGAAAAATATAATTGGGTACAAAAAATCAGTATACATATATAAAATACATACATATATGGTTAATTGGTTGGTTGAATGCGGCCGCTTAGCACCTGACCCTGAGCGGCCACACGTGAGCCATTAAGCAGACTTGTTGAGCTTCCCTGCTTATCCGAATTATGTTGACGGTCGATTTAAAGATTTCTTTACGTTTCTTTCACACATCCGCACCCACCTTTTTAAGGCTGGAGCTCGGTGCACGGTTGAAGATTTCATGGCTCAATCGGCTGAAGGACGGGCATACGCAAAGGTAATGCTCCATCGTATCATTCTCCTCGGTGCAGACTTTATACTCTGCCGATTTTACATTGTCTAGCTTCTGGAGATGTGGTCTCGGGTCTATACCAAGAAGAAAGCTAAGATCTCGTTTGATTTTACATTGCCTAGCTTCTGGAGATGTTGTCTCTTTTGTAGTTTTTGTTTTATTTATTTTTGCGGCCAGACAGTAGTTTTAGTGGTACGCCCTACATTAGCGTAGCTCCAGAATCTGAAATAATTCCCAGAGCTCCACTGTTTTAAACAACATTTGAAAGCGCTGAAAGCTCTGAGGAAGTCGATGGTGACAGCATAGCCGGCGGTGTTAATGCGAGCGAGCTCATTCGCGTTTTTATCACCTTCTACATTCGTGTGACCTGGGATCCATGTGACATATTTTTTTTTGTGCTAATTCATGGTAGTCGGTTCATTGCCTCGTTGTATATTTTTACTTAATTTTTTACTGTTTTTTGACACATTGGAATGCCTTAATTCCGGTTTGGTTGTCTAGATGCCTCTGCTAAAGCAGCTTCATATAGAGTCATTCAGTTTGAAGTTACCCAGGCTAGTGGGGCGGTTACAGAATAAAATGATGCTGTGCCTGCCACTAATTTGGACCCACTAGTATAGATGAGGAGGAGGATAGCATTACCTCTGACCTTGCCTTCCTTCTAGAAAAGGAGTAGGTGGTTTCCACCTGACAAAAGGTTTCTGTTCTCTGTCACACTGTATGTTTAGCCCGAGTTCTCTTATAACTTTCTGTATGCCACCATGTCCTTCACAGAAGCAGGGGCTGGGCCCAATTATCTAGGATATTTAGGCGACAAGCTCTTAGGCCTATGTTGAGATAGTTTTCATTGCACCAGTTATATCCAGTAAACATGCACACAGTCATTTCTTAAATATACTTTTTGGACAGAAAGCCGATGCTGTCACGGCCACCCAATAAATTTACGCCAGGTGGCGCCAAAGAAGACTTATCAAAAAACCCATTCAGTATATTTCAAATAGATTCAGTATATTTCAAATAGATTCAGTCAACAAAGTACGCATAGCTGGAAAGGGTCAGAGGTGCTCTTCAGTTAAGCGTGGCCATGAAAGAGTCGAATGCATACAACGTTAAAGAAAACTTGAAACAAATTTGGCATTGGTCATTGATTTACACAATTCGTAAAATTTATAAATGTTATTTATTTGATTTGTTTTTGTTTTTTCTTATTTTGTTGCTGTTGTAAAAAGTGCAATACTAACAAAAACGGTAAATTGCAATGAAACTGGTTTTTCGGCCCGAAAGCTACTGAAGTAGCAGTAAAATTAACCCATCAATGGAAAAATCGTAATTTTACAACAAATTTGAAGTTGGTTTGACGAATTCCGTTCGGGAGATTTTTCTCACAAAGATAAGCCACGCTCGGGTCGACCAAGTGAAGTCGATGGTGACGACAAAGCAAGGCTTTAATGAAATCGGATCGTCCTCTGATTGAGCGTGAGATTGCAGAGAAGTTAAGTGTAACCAAATCAACCGTTTATACTCAAATGGGACGCCTTGGAGTGGTAAAGAACCGGATATTTCGGCACTACATGAATCGAAAGAGATTCATTTAACAACCCGCTTCAACGCTCGTGATATGCATCCGAAACGAAATGAATATGATTCCGTTTTTGAAGCCAATCTTAACTGGAGATCAAAAATAGATTGTCTACAAAAATGCCAATCGGAAAAGGAAACGATGCAAGCATGATGAAGCGTCACAAGCCACTTCAAAAGCTGATATTCACCATAAGAAAATTATGCTCTCAGTTTGATGGGACTGGAAGGGTGTGGGATATTTTGAATTGTTTCAAGAAATCAATCTATTAATTCGGATGTCTACTGTGAGCAACTGGACAAATTGAATACATCAAGCAACGAATAGTGGCCAGAACTGATCAATCGTAAAGGTGTCTTATTCCACCAGGAAAATACTAAGCCTCACACATTTTCGGTTACACGCCAAAAACGTGGGAGAGCTTCAAACATTAGGAAAATCGTACCGGAGATAGGAGTTTTTTTATAATAGTTCACTCCCCGGAAAGTAAAATTTTACATATGGTTCGTTCACAGTCTTCACTTCCCAGATAAGAAAGACTTTCCCATATCGAAAGGCGAATAAATAAATTCTATTTCTTCGAAAAGATCGGTGCCAGGTACACTTCCGGCATGCCTACGAGGACACAACTTCTAAATTTAAGATCTACACAACCCGTACTTTAGGTTGTGGGTTGGTTTGACAGTCATTCGGGACAAGTACCTTAAGATAGATGACCTTTAAATTTGTATAACTTTCATGTACTTGAACTTGAATATTAACTTTGGTCCGAAGTATGTTAGTACGAGAAGGAGAAGGGATAGACCCTTCAAAATACATGCCGATCGAGAAAGACTGACGAGTGAAGTTGATTTAGCGCTGTCTGTCTATTCATTTCTATCTACGCTAACTACTAACTAACTAACCCGTCGTTTTCAAGATATTTCAATCAAACTGGTTACACAGATGCATTTGTCGAAACCCACCGAATCTGACCACTACAGCATATATACGATAAACGACCGATTTTTCAGATATGACATTTTGTGTCGTTTGTCAAAAAAAAATCATCTAAGAGCGTGAAATTTGCTTATTACAATTACATATTGGTGCGGAGAACTATATTATATAGGCCTCATACGAGTATGTGGGCATCTCTTGAGACCAATATTTCATATAGTAAGCAACAGATAGTAATCACTTGATGCGAGGTTCGCACTATAAAATGGATGCATAAGAGCCTCCCAATCAAGCTCTCGAGGCTTCTGACAAGTTACTATCGATACGTGAGGTTTGGAGTTATCTTCAAGAAACACAATTCCCCTGTAATCCAAAGTCGGGCGCTTCTGCGTGTTTGAATTGTGAAAATTATAACTTTTTTATTACAACCAAAAAAAAAAAAAAATAAATAAATAAATAAAAAAAAAAAAAAAATAAATCACTCCATCAAAGGGTTAAAGTCATTCACAGCGACTTATTTGGCACGTAAGATTAATGTCAAAGACGTAAATTACATTAATGTGAAAAATGTTTGGCAATTTGGCCTCAACCGTTTGCTTGTTAGCATTTTTATTTCATAAAAAAAATTGAAAAAAATGAAGCTTTAGCAATCAATGCAATTCGGTGCATGCATACGTATATGCACAAAAAATATTTATTTATGTACAAGGCAACAGTTGAAGCTTTTGAAGCGTCTGTAAACGAATGTGCTGTGTGACCGACTTTTGAGTTCAGCGAAAAAAAAAACAAAAATAAATAAATAAAAAAAAAAAAATAAAAAAGATAATAACAAAAACAAAACACAAATATTGATAACACTACTTAAGCACTAACAACAGACACACGCTTACACACATACACACTGTAAAGCATATTTAACTTTCTCCCACTCAACACTCTACAGGCTCTTACGTTTATTCGCTTCAGTTGCTCCGTGATGTGCCGCAAATAAATAAACGTAATTAAATAATATTTTTAGATTTTCAAATTAGTTTATTTACTTAGCATATACTATTGTTTTTTATTAGTTTTTATTTATTTTTATTTTTAGTTTTTTTGTTTTTTTTTTTTGTTTTGAGTCGCCACACTTTATTGCGCTCGAACCGAACGCGACGAGTTCAAATGCAAAACTGAACAGTGAGTTTCACGCAAGATATATGTGCGACCAGCGCTTTGTAGTTGCAGCGGGAATATGCGTACATTCATATACATATAAACTAGAAGCGTATAATAATGATTACTGAAGAGTTAAATAAGGAAAATTCAAAGCACAAAGTAAAAATTTTTAAGCCTCAAAAAGTGTCAACTAAACAGTATTAAATGTGAGTACAGGAGTTAAGTGTATGCTTGTGTCATACAACGATATACATATTTGTTGTAGTTTTCGGCAATATTTTAAGTTAGAATTTTATTCAAATTAATATAAATAGAATTTTATATGCAAACTTTGGTAAAATCTTCAATTTCTTTGTAAGCTGCTTGTAACCGCGCATCAGCCGGACTGTGTCTACATATGTACATCCATTGGTTGTTTGTAGTGCCAGAAGGTGGTCTATTTTGTTGGGATCTAAAGTAGTCATTGCATAAAACGTCAAAACGAAATTTTGCGAAGCTTCAGAGGACTGAAGAGGCTTCAAAACTTGATACTAAGGCTCCCTTTAATATCAAGTTTTGAAGCCTCTTTAGTCCTTTGAAATCTAAGACGAGTTCTAAATAGCTCAGACCGCACAGAAGCAGAGGAGTTGTTCTAACGACACCCTCATGCCTTCCACCCTGCACTTCTTATACAATACAAATAAGCACTGCTACTGATGATAGAAATTCACAATGTTGAACAAATTCTTGACTTCATCGATTTAGGTGTCACCAAGTGCCCAAAGCTAGAAACCTAATAAGGCAGAAGACATTTTAGTTTCCATTAGACATTAGCAAATTACTCTTTACTCCACGTGTTAAGCCCATTTCGAAATATGGTACAGTTGTGTAGAGTCTGTACTAGGCAATGTATGTAGTGATGAATTGAAATCTTTAAAAAACCAATTCCAACTGTTCGTGCGAATAAGACTCACCTTCTTTAAAAAAGTTTCCTTACGGCTCACTTATCTGCCGGCCGGGGTAGGCTAGGGGTTAGCATAACGTGCTGCCATTCAAAAGGATCGTGTTTAAATCCTGGTGTCGTACTAGCATCCAAAAAGTTTTAGAAAATTAAATTAAATAAAAAATCAAGTTAAATTTTCTAATTGCGGCCACCCCTTGGCAGGAAACGTTCACGCCTACGGGTGTATTTCGGACATGAAAAAAGGCTCCTCGTAAAAAAACCATCAGCCGGTCGGAGGCGGCTTAGTATAAATTGTAGGTCCCTTCTGTTGTTGGGAAAACATCAAGACGCAAAATCGCTTCAGTGGTTACAAAGCTCCAATTATATACATATATATATACAATATATATATATATATATATATTAGATGTAGTAAAAAGTTCGCTCGGTTTTTATCTAAGAGATGACGTTATTGTCCATAGTACTAGTGTTACGTGTCGCATCACGTCCTACTATACGGCGCTAAAAACGTGTGTTTTTGACAGCTTTTCGATTGATTGGCTCAGTACGTTGTGAGCGCTCGTCAAAGATGGCCAACAAAAGCAAAGAGAAAATTCGCAAAATTTTAAAATTTTTCTCCGATCAAGGCGAAAAAGCGGCCAAAGCGGATGAAAAAATTATTTCGTTTATGGGTCCGATACTAAAGACGAAACTTGTAGCACAAAAGTGGTTTGCTAGGTTCCGTACCGGTAATTTCGATGTCAAAGATGCATCACCTGATGCTGTGTGTTTGGTGGAATTGAAAACGAATCATCTACTAAGAGCTGCTCCTCTATGGCCATACGCTCAGTTCTCTACTATCTACTGCGAACAACTGAATCGCTTGAAGGCAGCACTCATCCAGAAGAGGCCATCTTTGATCAACAGAGGCCGAATTGTGTTTCATCAGGACACCGCCAGGCTACACCCGTCTTTGATGACGCACCAGAAGCTCCAGGGGCTCAAATGGGAGGTCCTAATGCACACACATTATGGAAGTGGCACCAAGAGATTATCATATCTTCGCGCTTAATTGTAAAAAGTTGGCCTCAAGAGAAAATTGAAAATTGGCTCTCCGAGTTTTTCGCCAATAGGGACGCAGCCTTCTATGAGAGGGTTATAATAAAGTTGGCATCTCGTTGGCAACAAGTTCACGAACGAAACGTCTCATATTTGAATTGAATCGGACAAATGTACACATTTTTATCATTTTTAAAAAATAGATAAAAAAAACCGAACGAACTTTTTACTTGACCTGACATTAGTAGAAAGTCAGCGAAATATAAAATATCTTTTCAGAGCCCACCTCGTAAGTATAAAGATGATTATTTCATATTTTGAATAATTAGCCAAGCGTTTATAAATATGATATTGAATTGTCATTCCTTTAAGTGCACCGAGGACAGGTGTCTGTTTAGAAAAAGCAACCACACGTATTTACAATTTTTAAAATGAATAATAAATATAGATAATTATATTTGTTCCCGGCACTTACATACATACTTAAGAAATGTAAATATTTAATTAAAAAAACTCAAATCAACTAAAATTAAGCTTGCAAAGTGGCAAAATGGACTAGTTACCAGCTAAATTAGAACTAGTGTGAAACTAGTGCGAAACTGTCAACCGATTATTTTAGGCAAACTAACTGGTACTCAAAACGCAAAAGAATAATCCACTAGTCACTTACTAGTAACAAAAGCACTAGTTCCAAATCCAAAATAAAAGTCGAAGCATAAAATAAATTTGAAACCGCCCAGATTTTTAATAATTAACAAAGTAAGTCACTCATACATGAGAATATTAATTAGACCAAACTATTGGTTGGAGCCACTGGCAAATAGCTGGATACACAAAGGAGCACTATGTATAGATGCCAGCTCCTGCGGGTTAGGGGTTCAAGAATTTACCCGCGGTAAGGCATGCCTATCGTAAGAGGCGACTAAAATCCAATAGTTCCCGCGCCAGTTGGGTCTTTATACCGAACTAAGGACTGTCACTCTCGCAACATTAGCCAAAAATTCCTTTGGGGGAAATTTTTGCGGTTGCAACACAACAACATGTATAGATGTCAAATGTGTTAAAAAGACATTCCATCTGCGAATATCTGCTGACGGATAACAAAATCGACCCAAGGCAAAAGCGGGTTCTTAGCCAGGATTGGAGCGTCTGAAGGAAGTAATCACGCTGAAGCGCCTAGTTTTGGCCAACAAAGAGGGGAATTTTGTTTCACCCGGACAAAGCCAGACCACACATATCTATAGTAAAACACCAGAAGCTCCGAGAGTTTGGTTAGAAGTTCCTTATTCATTCATCTTATAGCCCAAACCTCGCACCAAGTGATTACCAACTGTCCTTGTGCTTGGGCTCAAATTTTGGCGTCGACTATCATCAAAAAATGTTATAGAAAATTAATTTAAATAAAAAATTCATTAAAATTTTCTAATTGCAGTCGCCCCTCGGTAGGGAATGTCCACCACACCGAGCGTATTTCTGACATGAAAAAAGGCTCCTCATAAAAAACCAGTCAGTCGTTCGGAGGCGGCTTAGTATAAAATGTAGGTCTCTTCATTTGTTGGAAAAGTCATCAAGAGGCAAAATCACAAATTGGAGAGGGAGCTCGGCAGAAAATCGCTTCAGCGAGTAAATTAAAATGAAATAAATAAAAAAAAAAAACAATATACGTTTTTATTTTCGTTGGGCACACAGAAATGCATTTTCGCAAAGCTTATCTCCCTTAATTTAGCGTGCATTTATTCCACAAAAAAAAGGAAAAAACTTGATTGCGAGTAGGAGATTGCCTATCTGCCGCATTTGCCGAAGCAATGGCAATTAAAATTGTTTACTAAATATTTATTTATTACTGTGATGAATGACAAGTGAAATGAATAATGGATGAAGTGGAATTTTACTTTGCTGCCCTTGCGCGACATGCGCTATTTCAGTTTTTCGCTTTTTTTTATTTTTTTTTTAGGAAATTCTGTAATGAAAGCAATCTTAATATTTACATAACATCATAAAGTGTCATAAAGTAATTCATTGTAATTCAAAGAGTTCGTCTTTGTAAATTCTTGCAATAAAAACACCGAATTTGAAACCAGCATAAAAGAGGGTCTACTTCAGATCCATGAACATCAAAGCAATCCATTCTCACTGTCAAATTTGCTCACTTCACGTCTAACATCTTCATATGCAGATTGGCTTTCTTGTCAAGCAGGTTTTTATTTGAACATCTCACCTTACGCACCCAACTCTCTATTGACCAATGACCAACATGAGAGAGAAAGTCTTAATTAACAAAGCATATACTTGTATGTATATTGACATATACATATATGTAAATATATAAGCATAAGCTTGAACAGCATCTAGGCCAAAAATATTATGCAATCGTAAAAAATGTTTAAAATTCAACAAAAGTGTGAGAGTAAGTAAGAGTGAAAGGGAGAGAGAGAGAAGAAAAACTTTCATTTTTATTGACCCCAAAAATGTGGGTAGGTACATAAGAAAAAAAGTTAAAAAAAAGTGGTGGACGAGAGAAAGATGAAGAAATACAATAAATAAATATTTATTTTCAATACAAGCTAAGCGTTCACCAAATAATAATGGACGTAATGGCGAAGATCGTTTAAAGAGGTGAGTTAACAATAAATATGTAATATCACCTAGGTGTGCCCCTTAAAAAAAAATTTTTTTTTAAATTTCCTTCTCCTTTTGCTTAATGAATTTGCACTTAATTTATTTTCTTCTTCTTCTTTAATTTAGTTTTATTCTTTATTTAATTTCACCTCACCATATTTATTTTGTTTAATTTATTTCAATTAAAATTAACTTTGTTTTAATTACCTTTACTGCATTGCATATGTTAATATATATATCATTTTATTGTTATTAATTTCATTTAACGTGGTTTTTATTTATTTTATTCAACAAAATTTATTAATTTTTTTTTTTCACTTAGTTATAGTGAATTTTAATTTTATTAATTTTACTTCATTTTAAATCCATATAGTTTGTTATTGTGTTTTTGTTTAATTAAACTTAATTTTGTTTATAGCAGAGAAAAATAAATACAACTTAATTTTTTCAAGTTTCTTTTATTTATGTATAATTTTTATGCATTTCTGGTAACATTTAATACACATATTTAACATAATTTGCATTTAACATGCCATAAAACTCTGTAGACACTTTTGAAATCAGAGAGAAGAATTATAGTAAAAATTATTTTTATATTTAACAATGTTATTTTGTTTTACTATTTGCACATTTAAGTATATAAATATACTAATTTTATAATTACATTTTCACAGCAAAATGCACAAAATTACATTTATATACTGATGTATGTGTGTTTTTTTATATAGTTTTTTATTTTATAGCAGAGTACAATATTTACGAACACCATGACCAGCATAGTCAGTAGTTAAAGTTTTAGATTTTCTCCACGTATGTATATAATTAATGCAATAATATTTAGTTCGTTAATAATAGTACACGGATAAAAAAGGGATATGTAGTTATGTTACATATATAATACACAATTTTATAAATTTTTAGTTACTTGTACTTACATCTTAGATTTGAGGGAAATCTTAATTTTTTTTATAATTTCTGCATACTTCTTGCCTCAATTTATTTCATCTTTTTTACATTTATTTATTTTCCAACTATTTATTAGTTTTGTATTAATACTTGTTGAGAGATGGAAATGCTTTAGTTTAAATAACAAATGCTATAGTAAAAAAGGCATTACTTTTGTATCGTTTTTATATTTTGAATTTGATGAAGATTTCGAAACAGTCTCATTTCTTGTAATATTTAATATATATTTTTTTAAAGTAATTTATATATATTTATAAAAATTTCAAGGTGAATTAAATTATTAAAAGGAACGCAACTAAAATGAAAATAAATAAAATAAAATGATTTAATTTCATTAAAACATAATAAAAACAAATAAAATATAATTAAAACAATATAATAAAATAACAGAAACTAATAAAATAAAATATAATAAAATAAAAAAATTATATGAAATGAAAGATTGTAATATAATAAACTAAAATAAATTAAAATAAGAAAAAAAGTAAAGTAAAACATAAGATAGATAAAATAAGATAAGATAAAAAGCTAAATAAAAGGAAGAAGAAAAAGTAAAATAAAACAGAGTAAAATAAAATAAACGAAATAAATTAAAATAAAATAAAATAAAATAAAATAAAATAAAATAAAATAAAATAAAATAATATAATATAATATAAATTAAGTTAAAATTAAATAAAATAAAATGAAAATAAAGCAAACATAATAGGAAATGTATATTTATTAAATGAATAAATTAAATTACCATGTTTTTATGTTAAAACTTCCCCTCATAACGGGACAAATCAAGCAGAGTTTTCCAGAAAAGGGAGTTCTGTTAAGCGATTTATAGATTTAGTTGGCCATGGCATATTAGAGATGTTTAAAATCAAGATGGCGTACAAATTAGTAAATTAATTCTAAAAATTTATTTCTCGAAAATCTTGTTTCCATCACCAGATGATATTGTACATATGTCGATTGGATGCTTGAACATCAACTTCTCGTCTTGGTGATGTCAATTGGCTACAAATAAATTTTTTTTGGGAGCTAGAGGATTACATGTGAATAACTTTTTAACACTTGAAAACCTACATTCGTCTAGTCATGGTTCAGACATCGCCCAATATATGCCAAAAAGTGGTGGACAATTATCTCAAACGGATCTAAGTTAACTAAAATTCGAGATGCAGTCAGTTAATAATATAGTGTTTCCCATATAATGCCAAAGTCTAAGCTTTATAATAAAAAAGGTATTTCATGGAAAAAAATTGTCTTAAATGTAATTTATTTTAATCGAAAGGATTTACACTGAAGTTGAAGCAATAGAAATTGGGAAAGCAATTCCAGTTATCAGAGATTCTTCGAAGTTTCTTGCGTATAAAGTTAGGAAAACCCTAAAATCCTAGTGGTGATGATTCACAGTTGGTAATGGTAAAAATTAATATTATTTTTAGGTTTAAAATTTTTAGACGTTTAAGCCCTTTTATGTTAAAAAGTTATAACAAAATAAAAAAAAAATTACCAAAAACCTCAATTTCCAAAGTTAACAAAAATTAAACAGAAATATATTTTTTTATATTTTTTTGTTTTATTTCTTACAATAAATTTCACTAATGCTTAATGTACATTTTTTTATCCTTAACCTGCAAGGAGCAAGCAAATTTGAATTTTTATTTCGTTTTTGCTTGATATTTTTTTTTGTTTATTGTTGTTGTTTCCTATTCTGTGTAGCTCAGTTGTTAAGGGAGCAAGTTTTTAATTTTTTTTTGTTTTTACTCTAGTCAAACTTAAATTATTAAACAATTTTTTTTTTGGTTAAAAATTTTGTAATTTTTGTAAGTAGTCATTAAGAGCTAACAAGAAAGTTTACAATTACTAACTAATCTGATTCTGTTTGGTTTTATTTTAATTAAATTTTTATTTTCATTTTCAATTTAATTTTAATATTTATTTCTTTTCTTCAACAAATTCAATATAAAGGTTCAGCGCATTAAAAAAATAATTTTTAAACGCAAGCAACGCACAAAACTTCAGTCGAATTATTTTTTTTCTTAATTTTGTGTTGTACCGTTTGCGGAAAAATTAAAAAAAAAAATTTAAAAATTAAAACAAAAAAAAAATTAAAAAAAATTTCAAACTTTTAGTAGAGTCAAAAACAGTTGACGGTATTGTTCTTGTTAAGAAAAGCTATGAAGTCTGTGTGCAGTGATGATTTTTGAAGATTAAAAAAAGATTTTGAGAAATTTTGACTTGTGGCATTTTTAATTAATGTGAGAAATATGCTTATTACGCATAATAATTTTTTTTTTTCAATTTGGTTTTTCCAATTTGGTTTTAATAGCAGTTTTTGTGCACAATAAATTAAATAAAATTAAACATTAATTTTTTAATGAAAATATTAATTTAAATATAATTTTCTTCAATTTGCAATTGTTGTTTTTTTTAAATGTATTTAATTTTAATTTTGTTTTGTGTTTAATTTAGCTCATAATTTTACAATTTTTTTTTATTAAATTAATTAATTTATTTAGATTTTGTAAATTTAATTTATTTGTTATTGTAGCTAAATATAGTATAGTTGTATTTTGTTATATAAATAGTGTTTTTAACCAGTTGCACATATATACGTAAATTTTTTTTTGCTTACTTAAAAATTAATATTTGATTTAATTTCGTTTTTAATTAACTAATTTGTAATTTTTGTTTACATTTTATATATGTATGTATGCGAACCTAGTTTGTTGCCTTTTAAATATATAAAGTTTTATGTACGAATTGTTGTTTTGACATTTTTTCAGAGTTTTGTATAAGTTGTTTGGCTATTTTTAGTATTTTTTTTTGGTAAAAATTTTGAAGTTTTATTAAAAATTTTTTTTAAATAGATATACTCCAAAAAAATACGGTTATAGTTTTTTTTGTAGTGTTGTTGCAGTTTCTGTACTAAATTCAGTCATTGGGTTTAAGAAATATTTGAAGTAAATTTCAAAAATTTATAACTTCAATATTTAAACTCCTGCTAAATTCTTTGTGGTGCCTTTTTTGTGAATTTTTTGCATATAATTATTTTGAAATAATTTATTTTTAAAAAACTTAACAGTATGAGACATGCATTTTTTTATAAATTTTTTTTTTTTAATTCAATAAATTTAATAAATCAAACTAAACGATTTGTGGTGCGACTTACAGCTGAAAGTTTGTTAAAATAAAACAAAAAAATGTGTCTATAAAGATCGCGAAATTTTGCTTAAAAACTGTTCAATTCAATTAACATTCAACAACATTTATTACAATAAACATAATTATTATATTTAACAATAACTTTCACTTCTATTGATTGATTTTTTTTTTGTAAATTTCAAGACTTCTTAAAATATTTATTTGCTTTTTAAAAGTGTAGAAAACATCTTTTATTGTACAATTATTTTCATTTTTTTTTTTCATTTGGTCATTTTGTGATTTTTTGTTTTGTTTGTTTTTGTGAAAATATTAATTTTGAGTCCAGCCCAAGAAAAATGAACATTTATTATATAATATACTTCTTATTATTTGTTTTTCTTTTTTTTCGTATATATTATATGTATGTATGTGTGCTTGTACAGCTAGTTCCGGCCATAAATTGGCTTGAGAAATTTTGCAAGCAAAAAAGTGTTTGCACAGTCAAATTTGAAAGTTTTTCGTTTCCCTTTTAGAATGGCAGGTGGCATGCAGAAGTTCTGAAAATTTGACACTTTGTAGCCGCAGAAGCGAATTACGGCATAAAAAAATTTTTTTATGTGATTTCTTTGCACTTTGGCGCATTCGAAACAAATTCATATCAAAATTTTTCGAAATAATCACCAAGCACCTCGTGAATTCCACCACCAGCATATACCGCATTTTTTGTATTGAAACCGCAGGTTTTTCTAGAAGTTTTACGCCATTTTGCCTTCACTCCCGGCAACTTTTTCTATAAACTCGCCTTTCAGTTTATTTTTTATGTTTTTTTTTTTTGTTTTAATTTCTCGGCATAAATCAACTATATTCTTTCGAAAAACCACAAAAAAAATAATCCAATTAATAAATATATAAAAATGTATGTTTGAATGTACATTCTCAATAACTTATTTAACTGCAGCAGTTTTCACGAAAAACACATTGGGATTCGCTTTCTTTTTTGTCCCTCTTCCCGCTTTATAACTTTGCTTTGCATGCACTTTTTTTGTTCTTAATTTTTCCATTTTTTTTCTACGCCCATTTTTCCAATTAAGTTCTCTTTCCCCCTTAGTTTGTCCCTGCTCTCTCCTTGGCTTTATTTCTGCAAGCAATATTCCATTTCATTTTCGCCAATTGTCACTGCACATGGAGGCTGGACCGGCTGTGGCTTTAGTAGCCCGGAGAACAACCTCTTGAATGCCAAATGCTATTTGGCACTCTTCTTCACACTCAAACTATGCTGTTTGCTCTTCACGTCGGCTAGTGTGTGCACACCTTGCTCTTCGAATTTCTTCCATTGTGAATAGTTGATTTGCATGTAGGTGACCAATTGTGGCATGTCGATGAAACCTACGGAAGAGAATTACAATTATTTCGTTTAATTTTGTATATAAAGGGTGAAAAAATACATAAAATACAGAAAAAAGCATCAAATCTTTATTCGAGTCGTTAGTAATTACATAGACCGTATAATTTAATATTGGAAGATTATTTCATGCAAATGTTGACCGCGACTGCGCCTCAAATGGTCCATCCGCTTAGTACTATTTTGGAATACTCTTTCCAACATATTGGTAGACCCCAAACGCTGTTTACAGAGAGTTCTTCAACATCTTTAAAAGCTCTCTTATGGAAAACGGTGTTCACAGAATCCAACTACCACCAATGGCCGATGAATCTCGCGAGGCAGCGTAATACTGCAACCATTAAATCATCCTCTACTTATTCAGCCATGAATCCGACATAGTTAAAGGTGAAAGCATATCCTGCATGCAATGAGTCCCCGAAAGACCTCTTTGCATGTCCGTTGGCACTACTTCTCTCCATGCAAATGGAATATTGCTCTAGTATCCACTGCTAGTTTCCTGGACCTAATCTTAGATGAACTCAACAACATAGACTAACTTTGCCTGTTTTAGAGGGCACCGGCCTAACGCTTTGCAAATGCTTGACCTTCATTCTTTACCAGCTTCCATAAGGGAGCATCATTACCGATTGAGTTTTGTCCAGAGGGCCATGACCGAGGAACCAATTCATTAGTTATGTTCATTTCTGAGCTGCCTTGAAGAATGGGAATATAAAATCCAGACTACTAACAGTCTTTAAGCGTGTAATATGAGTTAAATAGGTGTGGCTGCGTAAGTACACTCGGCTATCGATCGGTTCAAATTTATATATTTTTTCTATTTCAAAAACTTGCGCTTTCGAATGGCCAACAAATCGACTGAGCTTCTCTACTTGATACATGTATGTATGTAACTGAAAATACTACTTACTATCCCACGCATGCATCATGTCCTGTATAATGTACTCAATGAAACCGATCTGACTCTTCGGTATGCTGCACGTATTCCTATCAAACATTGGCATAACAATCGGCAGAGCCTTCGATTTCTCCTCATCCGTTTGGGTGAAATATTCCTCAGCAATGCGACGAGCCCATTCAATGCAGTAGGATGGTTGACGTGATGGATTACTCACATCAGCCACTTTGATCATCATGCGGCGTATAAGAATGGAACTCTCCTCCTCCGATTGTACAATCTATGGCATAAGTAAGAGAGAGAGTGAAAAGTTTAAGATAATTGGAAGACGGTATATATTTTATATTACTAACATCTTTGGGCTCTTCATCCGAGCCGAAAATGCTAACAAATTTGGCCAAATGTTCAAAATGCCGCGTCATCTCAGTCGCCAAAATCATATCGATCACAACGCTGCGCACCGATTTAAAGCTCTCAGTATCTAAATTCTTAAAGATGTTGACTTTGTCATCACCTGCCGACGAGTAAGTGGGGGAGAGAGTTAAGAAGAAATACTCGTAGAATTTAGAGCGTTTTAATATTGAATTATAGAAAGGGGAAATCGTGCGGGTGCACTTACTTAACGTAAGCCTAAAGGTAATTGAAGCATGATGCGATTCCAACACGCATAGATCATTATATAGCAGCGCCAGTGTATTGCGCGAGTTGCAGAGAAAGGCCGAAGAACGACCCGGATGATCGACATCGTGTGCGGCGGCGGCAATCAATGCTATGGCCTCATCTGTATGATCCATGCCCATATCCTTGGCGGCAAGCTGGGTGAGAAAACAGCCTGTGGCCTGTGGGAGAACAAGGGTAATGAAACATTCAAATTTTGTCGTAAAGAAATGAAGACCCCACCTGCATGACATCGGCAGCATGTGTGCTATTGTGATATGAATTATTCGAATGATAATTCGCTTCGATTATGGCCAACCAACCCTTGCAGACATTCTCATCAATATTCAACGTTGCAAAGACATTAAAACGTCGGAACATTTCCATGCCCAAATAGAGTAGGGGTCGCTTTTCGGTGATTTCTTCAAGTTTGAAAATATCAAATTCCCAACTTAGAGATTCTTCCAGTAATTCCATGATATGTGGTGTGGCCTGCAACAATGTATGCATTGAGCGTGAAATGGAGAGAGTGAAGAGACAGAGCATTAGTTGAAAAGAGCGTTAGAATATATTTACAGAAAAGTTTACCTTCATTTTGGCGGGCATACAAGTGGACTGACGACCACTCACACGTATGATGGAGTCATTTGAGCTGCGGCGTGATGAATAGAGACTTGGACCCTGAAAAAAAAAATTAAAAAAAAAATAAAAGGAATATTCTCATTAATCACTCATTCTTTATCTCTCTCTCATCATAACTTTTCACAAAATGTCTACTCACCGTCAAAAGCGCACCAATTAAATCGGTGGCTATTGGATCATCTGTACGTATTTCCTTCATTTGTGGACTATAAAGTCCTTCGCGTTTCAAGAACTCCATCACCTTATCTATGAGCCGTGCCTCGTCTGGCGAACAATTCTCCTGTACTTGGGAGAGTAAATTGATTATCTATATATAGCGTGCGTGGTTGTTTCATTTCATTTTAGATTCATTTGTGATTTTTGGTTGGTGGTTGGTTGGTTGATTGATTCATTGATTGTTTGATTGTTTGATTGATTGATTGTTTGTTTGGTTCATATTTATTGGTTGAATTATTGATTGATTGATTGGTTGTGAGAGCATTTTAACGATAAAACGAGACCAAACGAAAACAAAACGAACAAACGAACGAACGAACGAGCGAGCCAGCGAGCAGCGAGAGAGCGTAACAGTTTTTTTGGTTCATATATATATATATATATATATATATTTTTTAATTTTTTATTTTTATTAAATTTTTTGTTTTCAAACATAAAACCAAGAAAACACACATATAACGTAAAAAATGTAATAAAAAAGAGAGAAAAAAGAGAAAAAACAAAGTTTTAGAGTGCATTAGAAATTAACATTTGGCATACAAAATGGTTATTCTTTTTTTTTTAGTGTCTTCAGTTACTACTACTATACTACTTTAAAAGCATCAAAAATGAATTTGTAATAGATGTACACTGAGAAAAATTGAAAGCGTAAGAGAATTTTTTTTGCAAATTTTGTTTTTCCAAAATGGCGCAGAACAATTGGGGTGATTCTTAAATACTGAACAATAAAATATTTTACAAAAAATTAATTTTTTTTACTTAAAAAATTTTTCTCAGTGCATTTATAGTGTACGGTGAAGCGCTGCAGTGTTCTTTAACTATAAATTTTCGTTGAAAATAAAAGCGCTCAAAATGATTATCCTTAAAAGGAAATTATGTAATGGAAGAATAAACCAATGTGTTCAATTTTTTTTACTTAAAAAAAGACTTGAATTTTTTAAAAAAGATTTTAAATTTTCTTTCTAATGCTCCTTCGAAAGAAACTTTTTAGAAAGTGATTATGAAACAGTTTTTTTTGCTCCTTGCGAGTTCAGGATCGAATAAAACTTTAATTACAGGAAATAATTTTGTGTATTTGTTTTTATATTTATATATGTATTTATAACTATTTTTTTTAAGCACTAGCAACCGATTTTTCAAAAAAAGACTTTAAGTTTAACTAAAGTATTTTTAGAATTTTTTTTGAATAATTTTTATTTTTTACTTTTGAAAAATTATTTAGCTATCGACTTTTGCAAAAAAAATTAGAAAATTTAAAATTTTTTTGAATTTGTTATTTTGAAAAATATTTAAGCCAATGAGTTTTGCCAAAAAATCTATTTTTAAGTATATAGCTTTAAAACGTTTTCAGAATCTATTTTTTAAATGATTAGCCATTGATTTTCGAAAAAAAAAATTAATTTTAATCTTATTTGTTTTGAATTAATATATTTGAGCTTCATTTTTGCTGAGAAAGCCTCTAAGTTTTATCCAAATTTTTTTTTAAATTTTTTTAGAATTTTTTTTTTTAATATTGCAGCTAATACATTTTGCAAAAAAAATATTGAAGTTTAATATTTTTTTGAAATGAAAAATTTTTTTTAGAAAAAATTAGAAAATTTATTTTTGTGTTTCTAGGAAACTAAGCCTTCGAATTATGTGCGTATTTGTTGTGTACATTCATATTCATTCTAAAAATTTTAAGACTGCGGAAAACTGCTTTTTTTTCATTGAAAATATTTAAAAAAATTTGTGTGAAACTCTTTTCAAAATTCAAAAAAAAAAAAAATAGAAGTTAGAGGCTGGCAACTGCATTGAAATGTGAGTAAGCGGTGTCTATGCCAGATGAGAAAAACACTGAGAAAAAATAAGCTTTGATTCTATTAGCCAAATGTTGAAAATATTGAGATCTGGAGTAGTTGGCGCAGTGATGACGCGAGAAAGTTTGAGCGCTTATTTTTAAACTGCGTTTAGGATTTCTAGAATTATCCCAAGCCATCCCTAGCGTGTTTTAAGAGACCTTTAAAATCTAATAATTCTCGCCGTAGTTGAGTTTTTATTCTGCAAGGACAAGAAAATGTACCCAGCCAAGCACTGTCTTTCAAGTATTATTCCTCGAAAACCGACTTATAGTTGAAAAGCAAAAAAAAAAAAATGTTGGAAAACTAGATTTTAGAATTTAATATAATTTTGAATTTAAGTGGTCAATTTGTTTTTGGAATGTTATTCAATATCAAAATTAATAATTTTTGAAAAATACCCACTTTAAAAGGAACTCATATAAGGAAAAATATCTATACCAATTGTGTTGCCCTTTGAGATCATATTTTAGGACGATTGAGATAAATATATTTTGCTTGGTTTTAAGCTTAGTTGTTTTTACCTTTCTCTGTAAACTAGAACATTTTTTAAATTTTTTTGCTACTCTATCGGTAGCTGAGATCTTTTCAGAAGTTTAATTATTATTATTTTTTGGTTTATAAAGGATTATAAACAGGTTTTGAAAGCAAAGAGCTTCCCGTGGCATGAGGATAGAAATTACATTTTTGAAAAATCCGCATTTCTGGTCCCTTCAGAATGTCGTACGGTGCAAGGAAGCGCATTTTATTCCTAAGTAATTGTGCATTGGAGCACAACAGTTGGTTGTAATTCCTACTGAAAAATTTCGTATTGTTTTGCGTATTTTTTCTAACCATAATAATTTCAAATCGTTAATTTTTCTCAGTGTATAATACAACTTAGCTTGCAATTAAGGCGCAGCTGTTATTTTAAAATAGTTTTTTTTCTTGTGCATTTATTTTTAGTTGTTTGTAAGCATGTGTGTGTGCGTGTGTGTGTGTGTGGTTTTTTTATTGTACTCAGAGATTTGCAATAAAATTTAGTTAGGTAATTTTTAGTATTTTGCTAAGCACAACTGCTTTGGCTGTTAATTCAAATATTTTGAAAAGCCAAATTATTAGTTTTTTAGTTTGTGCAAACTCCATAAAATCCAGACAAAAAATGCGTGTCTTATGAACACTTCAAACACACACACACACACACGCACATGCACACTTAACATGTAGTACGGGTTGGCGGGTGAGCAGTTGATGGGTTTTTTCGAACAGTATGACAGCACAACACTTTTCTATTATTTACTTGGGTTAGTACACTACTAGCGGTATACACTACAATGTACTCTAAGCAATGCATTTTTTGCATTTGCTGTATTTGTTAGTAATAAATCCTACTTTTGTTATGGGTGCCTCCAACGGTAGTGATGTCAGCTTAGCAAGACTTGTTCGCCGTAGACCATCCGATGCCACCGAGCGCACATCGACACTGCCACGGCGTATAGAGTGCTGTGAGCCGCGTGGCGCTTCTCTGGCTTGGGGTAGTGTGGCGACGAAGTCACCATGTGATCCAGGTACATCGAGATTAAAGACATAGTGTGTGGGTGTTCTGCGGTGGTTGTAGAGAAGAGGGTTTTTTGTTAAAGAAAAAATAATGCTTCATATATATTTTTTATTTTTTTTTTGTTTTATCTTCCATTTACTTACCGCCCTATACAGGCCACGGGTATGACTCGCACATGCATTGATACATCCTCTTGTCCTTTGCGTCGCACAGTCAATATCTCATCGAACTCCTTATTCTTGCGGCCATGCATCATAATTGTCGAGACATCCGAGACGAAAATATCCGCCAATGGCTTGCTGATGATTTCATCCTAATTTATGAAAGAAATAACAAAGTTTAAGATTAAAAAAACATCCATAAAATTTAAAAAAAAAATAAAAAATAAGTAGAGAAAAAATATTAAATGTAAGAATAAAAATAAATAAATAAAAAAGTACAAGTTAAAAAGATAAAATTATAAATTATAAATAAAATAAGTGAGTAGTAAATATTAAAATAAAATAAATAAATAACAAACCAAAAGCAGTAATAAAAAAACAATAAAAAAAAACCAAAAGAAATAATAAATTAAATTAAATTATTAAATGAAATAAATAACAAATAAAACAAAAATAAAAAAGCTACAAATAAAAAGTAAATAAACAAAAAGTTAAATTTAAAAAATCTATAATAAAAAATTTAAATAAAATATGGTAGTGATAAACATTATGCTAAAATAAATAAATAAGAAAATAAAAGTAAAAAACGACAAATAATATTTAAAAAAAAAATTAATAATGAAGAATAAATGATATATATATATAGATACAATATATATATATGGTTAAACATATTAAAAAAATATCAAGAGAAAAATAAGTAATATTATTTTAAACATGTAAAAAAATAAATCAAAATTAGTAAATTAAAAATTAATAAATTAATAAAAACTTAAATTAATTAAAAACCAATTATAAAAAAATGAAAAAAAAAAATAAAATAAAAAATAAAATAAATAAACAAATAATAGTAATAAAAATACGAATCAAATAAATTTCAAAAAAATAGTTGAATAAAATAAAATCATTAAATAAAATAAATAAAAAAATAGTATATTAAAAATAAACAAATAAATGAAGAGGAATCAATAGCAGAAAAATTGATACAAAAAATTAGTAATAAATCCAATAGCAATAACAAAAAAAAAAACAAATAGATAGTAAAAAAAAATATAAAATTAAGTATATAACAAAAAGGAAAATTAACTTATATTTATAAAAACTATACATAATAATATAAAAAATAATAAAAATAGTACCATTATGATGATGATTTATGATAATCAATTATAAATAAAAATAGCAAAGCATTGGTTAAACAAATTAAACAATATGTAATAAAAAAATAATTAAATAAAAATAAGCATTATTAATTAAAAAATAAACTAATTAGTGAAAGAAACTAAATGCTATCAGTAAAATAGAACAAATTGAATATATATATATATATATATATATATATATATATATATATATATATATATATTAAATATATTCGATATATATTGTATATATATATATGTATATATGAAAGAACATGATGTTAGTTACTAAGCCTAACACTAAAAAAAACGCCTAAACCGATTTTGATGATTCGGATTGATTTCTGACAGACAAGTAGAATACGAATACGAAGAGTGGATCAGAGACTAACCTAGGTATATATAATTTTATACATATATAAAACGAGCTGCAGAATTTGCGGAAGGTGAACACATTTTCCTAAAACCAGAAATATCTGAGAATATCTAAAGATGGAATAATTTTCTATTGTACCTTTAGTCAATAAGTGATTCTTCAACATTATTTTGGGAGGGTCTGTTACCAATAAACGTTTTACACGAAATTAACTTTGGTCCGAAGAAACCAGGAAGGAGAAGAGATAGGCTCTTCAAAATATTACTCACATCAAACCACTGTAATTTTTACTGATTTGTTTATATGTAAGTTGAAAGATCAATGATACAGAAACTCGTCGAAATCGGAAGACTATGATATAGAGCTCCCATATGGCCGATTTGTGCATATATGCGGTATTGTATTTATATATAGCATATCTGGGTATGTAAATAGGTAGTCTGCAAATATATATGTACAAATATGGTCAGAAGAGGTAATCGAAGTCTTATTTATGAACAAAGACGGTTCATCTTTCTTGTTTAATGCAAATTAAATAAATTTAACTCTCCAATATGAATTGAATTCGAAGGTAACTTTTAACTTCAAGCAAAAAAAAAATTATTTATATAATAAAAAAAATACATATATACAAAAAGAAAATAAAAATTCCATATTTACCAAACGCATATTGAGCAAACGTTCAGCAGCCCGATTGGCATATTGAATGCGCAGGTGATTATCTGTGATGAGGATGACTTCCTTTAGTCGATGCAGCGCTGTGTAGAGGGCCTATAAAAATTATAAAAAAAAATTTTTACATTTATTTACCTATACACAAATAAATATTATTATTTATATATATATAGCATTTTTTATAAAACTTTTTATTTTATATTTAATTTTCATATGCTTTCAAGTACATATTAGGTTAAGTAAAAAGTTCGTTCGGTTTTTTTTATTGATTTTTAAAAATATGATAATTTTTTGTATTATACATTTGTCCGATTTAATATTCGCCGTTTTGTTCGTAAACGTCTTGCCAACGATATGCCAACTTCATTATACCCCTCTCGTAGAAGACTGCGTCCCTATTGGTAAAAAAAATTCTGAGAGCCAATTTTCAATGGCCTCACTTGAGGCCAACTTCTCACCATAAAGCGCGTTTGCCATGGGCAAGAAAAGGTGGTAATCACTTGTGCCAGGTCCGGACTATAAGGTGGGTGCATTAGGACCTCCAATACGAGCTACTGGAGCTTCTGGCGCGTCGTGTGTGGCCTGGCGTTGTCCTGATGAAACACAATTCGGCCTCTGTTGATCAAAGATGGCCCCTTCTGGATGAGTGCTGCCTTCAAGCGGTCCAGTTGTTGGCAGTAGAGGGCCGAATTGAGCGTTTGTTCATAGTGGAGCAGCTCGTAGTAGATGATTCCTTGCCAATCCGACCAAACACACAACAAAACCTGGTGCATCTTTAACATCGAAATTACCTGAGCGGAACCTAGCAAGCCGCTTTTGTGCTACACGTTCGTTTACAGCATCGGGCCCATTAACTAAATTAATTTTTTCAGCCACTATAGCTGCTTTTTCGCCTTGATCGAAGAAAAATTGTAAAAAATAGCGAATTTTCTCTTTGCTGGTGTCCATCCTTGACGAGCGCTCACAACGTACTGAGTCAATCAATCGAAAAACTGTCAAAGACAAACTTTCAGCACGTATAAACACGTTTTCAGCGGCGTATAGTATGACGCGATGCGACACGTAACACTTGTACTATGGACAATAAGGCTATCTCTTAGATAAAAACCGAACGAGCTTTTTACTTGACCTAATATGTATGCCTGATATTTTAGTGAATAGAAATTCATTTCCTGCATTTCAAATAAAAATATACTTAATTTTTTTTTCTCTTATATTCATTTCCATTCTAGCTTTTATTATAGAAAACATAATTTTATATATAACACGTACATATGTGCATACATATGTAGTATATATGAGAGTACTTACTTGTTGGGTTGACATGACATTGTGTGGTCGTACAATTGAATGCAGGATTTGCTTTAGTTCAATGTTGCACATCGAAAGATTTGTGGTCTCGGGAACGCACTGTACAATCAGCAAGCATTAAGCAATACAATCACAGCCATATCCGTAACAGAAACACCAACAACAACGGCAGTAGCAAGAGCCACAGCAGTAGATGCAGCGCATGTGAGATATATGATGTGTATATGTATTGTATTCATAAGTGTGTGTGCGTTAGATGGGTGTGAATAAGATTTTGTGGTTCAAGTGTCGGTGGGTTGTGTATTGAAGAGTGAAGTGGATGTATTCAAGGACGCCATTATATTGTGGAAAGTAGTCGATGTAGAGAAAGAAGAAGAGAAATAAAAAAAAGAAATAAAAACAAGTTAATTAATTGAAATGCTGTCGATATCGAAAACTATATATATTTATATATATATATATATATATCAGCAGTTAGCCATTGTTGTTGCGCTACAACCACAATGATAGCCATTTGACTGTCAACTTACCCTATTAACGCCAGCGTCTAGTAGTGCGATTAGTACCTCATCCTTTTCAAAGAAACTGAAATTGACAGGGTAAGAGAAATGAAGATAAATACAAGATACCTATATTTAAAATATTTTTTTTTTTAACTAATTGATTTATTCATATTTTTTTCTACAAAATAAAATTCAATTTCGAAGGATTTTTGTAATTTTTTTTCCTATTTATATTTTTTGTTTGCCCTTTTCTTTAGCACTCGACCAACAAAAGAACGTTAGGTGGTTTAATGTTCGACTTAGAAAGCAGAAACAACACAAAATAAGCAACTTGAATTATATCGCTGATTTGAGTTGAAGTCTCAAAAGCAATACCCACCCCACCAATAGCGTTGCCAAACCAAAAACTGGCACTATTGTGAATGGCCTCAAAAGAAAAAGAGGATACCAAGGGAAATTCTCGACATACGTCAGGGAAATTTCAAAATTCAATAAAATTACTTTTACCAATGTATTGATCTAGTAAAAAGCAATCCATTTACCATAGTTAGTATTTTACCTACAGGCTTTAAGCACCATTTATCGATAGTTCGTTAAGACCTTCTTGAACACTTTTCCAGTGAACGGCGTACTCGGAGTTAAACTACTCCTCATTGCAGACGAAGAGCTCGAGCTGCCTTGAAATTCCCCCGTAACATTAGCACAATTAGCATCTGGATATTGTAATCGACTAAATTTTTGCCTATCCAGATTTGATTCCGACATAACAAAATTATATCCCGCTTGCAATGGGCCTTCGCACGACACTAACTATCTCTTGCCTCATGCCTCTTAAAACCTACTCGTCCAACTCCCTCTTCCTCTAGTCAGAACCAGTTGGAAAATCTCATTTCTCAGACCATACGTTGGATGACTTCCATGTTTTACACTGATTTGCCCCAAGTGAAGCTAGACTAGCTGCTACAAAAACAATAACAATAACAACATAACTTTATGCCGTTTTAAATGTCATTGACTAGCTGCTACAAAAACAACAACAATAACGACATAACTTTATGTCGTTTTAAATGTCATTGGCAAAAAATTATGATAATCGATTTTCATAAGCTTCTCTTGAGCCCAATTCCTCTCTATACAAATCATTCGCCATAGACACGAATGCTGGCACGGACTATGAGGTGGATGCATACGTTTCTCTAATCTAAACTATCAGAGCTTCCGGCATGTCACTATCGATGTGTGTGGCCTGGCGTTGTCTTGATACAACACGATACCCTCTATTGTTGATCAAAGCTGGGCGCTTCTGGAGGATTACTTCCTTCAGACGGTCCAATCGCTGAGAGTGCAGTACAGTACGGTTGCGAATTAAGAGTTTGGCCGTAAGGAAGCAAATCATAGTGGATGATTCCTTGCCAAACAAAAAAAAACACGCAACACATCTTTCTGGCCGTCAATCCTGGTAACAAGACCGTTTCTGCTACGATTCAGCACGGAATCGCAGATGAATATTCTTTGTGTATTAAGCATTTTTTAAGTGATTCCAAACTGCTTTCTATTTCTATGCAATGTTTAACTCCTGGGAAGTCAAAACAGTGCTCGCATGAGGGTCAAACTCGGTGAAATCCATTAATTTATCGATATTTTAAACGATTTGCCTGCAACGTCGTGGATCATTTTTTACACCGAAATTGACTGTGACAGTATCAATAGGATTCACAGTTGGTTTCCAGTTCCCTGATTTGTGTTCTCAGTTTTGCTTCTTCTTTTCATTGTATTTATTACGATTTTTACTTCGAAAAAGGTACTTTTAACGTGCATTAAGCTACGCACCTTATTTACTACCCAATAAAGTATAGCGAAAACCAGCAGAAAACTTTAAGTAACTCATCTCGTTAAATATTTGCTCTACTTTTGCGTATTCCTCAAGTTCGTCAAACAACATTTGAAGTAACTATGTGTGAAAGTTCGTTTTTGGTCGCAACTTTGTCGTTAAAATTTTACGTTTTTCCATTTTAACAGCTTCCACCGATGGCACAGAGTTATACGAGTATACAAATTGCAAAGTTTTAAACATAAAATATTGTATTAAGTTTAAATTTAGAAAATTTAAATTTGCAGTATTTAAGTGCGAATTTTTCTTTTTTACTTCGCTGAACTCGTAAAGCTCACAGTGCTGCCATTAAGCTAAGTGGCTTAGAATGGGGAAAGAAAGTAACGATAGCGCCACCTATTGGCTAGATTTTTGGCATGAATATTTTGTATTCGAAATAAAGTAGTAAATGGAACCAACTGAGGAATTTTATGACAGCGCCGCCTATAATAATTCTGCAAGCGATTATTATCCAATATTTTTAAGTCTAAATGAATTTCGAAGGCGAAATGCGGTTTTTAAAAATATGGAGACTGTTGCGCCACCTACTGGTCAGGCACTTATCGCAATGTTCTTAATGAATTATATTAATTGAAAGTTTTCGAAATGTTATACCACAAAAGAAATAAAGGCAAATAAAAAATTATTTTTTAAACAAACAGCGCCACCTTTAACTTAGATATTCAAACTTAAGAAAATTTTTCAACATTTAAAAAAAAAAAATGCTTTCAAAAGTTGCTCAAAGTCATATTAAAGTGATAAGGACCTCCGTAGTAATTATACACTTTTGAAATGGAAAACTAAAATACAATGAAATTGAAAAAAGGGTAGCTCATCAGTAGCTATATCTAAATAGCTAACAATTGTTGTACATACATATATGTACATATATATATGCATTGAACAGTGTCCTTTCTCTTTCATGTTTATTTTATTGTATCTTCCGTTCCGTTGTTGACTACAACTTTTGTTGGAAATTAGTTTCAATGGTTCGACTTGTAATACATACATACAATTTTAACATACCGAAAAGTGATTTAAGATTTTTTCCACAGCATTCTATGTTATGACTGAGAGGTCAAAGAGGGTAAGAGCAAATGTAGTGAGCGTAGTTGGTGGCTAACAAGCTTCATATTAGGATACAAGGATTGTACAATACTTTGTTGTCTTTTCTGCGATTTAATTAAAGGTTACTATTTGTAAGGAAAATAAATTGGCTGGTGCATGATGAGTTGGTAGGAAAGTATAGCAACGTCACTTAAAGGATTAAATAAAATAATTAATTTAAAATTGTCATTTAAGAGAATTATAAGTTAGTTGCCCCAGAAGTATGCTGAAGTTCCTTTCCCAAGAATAAACCATCTACAAATGTGGGGGTCAGGTCGTGGTGTGAAAGGACCTTGCCCGTGAAGGAGGAGCTAACTTGCACTTGCATTCAAAATAAACATATCTTAAAAGTTGATTCACGGACCTCACCTTTGCGTTAGTGATTGATGTAGAATGTCATTAGAATTTGTTTTTAATGATACAGTTGACTACTTATAACTAATAATTTATTTGGTATATAAGATTTTTAGCAAGTAAATCTCTTTAATGCTTTCATTTAAGTTTTCTTAGACCTCAAACGAGTTAATGAAGCTGTTTATTTTACAATTTATTTCGCTTAAATTATTTGTATTCGTATTTTTTTAATATTAAATAAATATTCAGTATTTAAACAATTAAATTAAATTTGTTTTATTTTTTTTGTTATTTTTTTTTATTTTTTTTTGATAAATTTTTTAACATAATTCAATTAAATGTAATTTAATTTAATATGTTATCATTTAATTTTAATTTGAATTAATTTAATTTATTTTAGCGATGTTCCATATACAAACATATTTTATTTCTCTCTTTATTCTATTTTATATCATTTTATATTTTATGTATTAAAATATACAAATTTTATGTTAATTTACCTTATTTTAATTTTATTTTACTTATTTATTTATATTTTTTTTAATGTATTTAATTTCATAAATTTTTTTTTTAGTTTATCATAATTTCATTTCATTTAATTTTAGCCCACTATTTATTCAATCACATTTTTATTATTTTCTTGAATGATAATACTCGGTTTTATTTTGTTTATTTGAATTTTCTTAATTTTAATTCTGTTTTAATTAATTGTTTTTATTAAATTTTGCTTTATTCGATTTGAGTTAATTTAATTTAATCTAATAGAATTTTATTGGATTTGTTTAACTTAATTTTATTTTAATATTGACTATTTATTTCTAACTTATTTTATTTTAAAATGCTATAATTTTTTTTAGCTGCACTATTTTTAATTTGTTTTAATTTAAATAATTATAATTTTATTTAAATTGATTTTCTTTGATTCTACTTGAGTTTAATTCATTATATATTAGTATATTTTTAATTTATTTATATTTTATATTATAATATTATTGATTTCATTAAATTTAGCTTTGTTTCAATTTATTTAATTTCATTTTATGATAATATGTTTTACTAATTATTTATGCTATTTCATTTAATTTTTTATTGGCATTTAATTTAATTTTTCTTGTTTTAGTTAATTTTTTTTTCTAATTTCTTTTTATTTAAATTGATTTTACAATAATTCACACCATTATTATTTTATATTATTTATTTTAATTATTATTTTTATTCGATTTTATTTCACTTTAATTAAATTTATTTATTTTAAAAGGGTTTTTAATATTTTGATAATTTAACTTTTTTTATATTATAAAATAAAATTTATTTTGAATTAATTTTTTTATTGGCTTTTATTTTATATTTTATTTTACCTTTGTTTAGTATAATTACTTTTTATCAAATCCAATCAAATTTATTAAGTTTTAATTTAATAAAATTTTAATTTTGGTGAATTTTACTTTACTTTGAGTTATGACATTTTATGTTATTTTTTATTTTATTAAATTACGCTTACTTTATAATATATTAATTATGGTTTGTTTACTTTATTTTAATTTTGTTTATTTATTTTATTTTATTTTATTTTTATATTTAATTATTTACTGTTGTTTCTTCATTTATTTTATTTGAATTAATTAATTTAATTTTAATATAAATATTTGAATTAATTTAAATTTTTTCATTTTATTTAATTTTTTTTTATATTTTATTTCATTATATTATATGTTATTTTATTTTATCTATTTTATTTCTTAGTTTAATTTATTTTTTTACTTTTTTTATATGTTTTATTTTATTTTTTTATTTTATTTTATTTTGTTTTACTTTATTTCATTTTATTTTTCAGATTTATTTTATTTCATTTTCCTTTATTTTATTTTACTTTATATATTTTATCTTATTTATTTTTTTAAATTTTTTCTTTTTAATTATTTATTTTATTATTTTATCATACTTTGTTTTATTTTACTTTTACTTAGTTTATTTTTTTTTTTTTTTATTTTACTATTATTTATTTTATTATCTTATTTTATTTTATTTTTTTTATTTAAAATATTTTTTACTTCTATTTCGATTTGAAGTCGCATATCAACGTGTTTGTTAAACTTTCACATCCAAAGTACGCGATTAAAAGAAAATGTATGTAGGCAAGTATTTACTTTGCTGGTATATCAACAGGTTTGTTACTTATATTTGCCATCTGAACTTCAACATATTTATTTACTTAACACCTGTTTGAGTTGAAAGCCAAGATAAAGTAAAAGAAAAATAAGATTATTTCCACACAAGTTGACTTAACAAATTAAAAGTTTTGATTTGTTGTGTGTGAATAGAAGATTCTACTAACCAGAAGCGTGTGTATGTGTATGTATGCGAGACCACACATGCCCATACATGCCCACACATACCTGCATGCACATTCGTATACATTTCATTACAACTTTACGTTGAGAAGGAAAGTGGGAAAGTAGCATAAAGCACAATCAACGCGCCGAAGACATATCACTTTAAGACGTTTTCATTAAAACTTTTAATCAACTTCGACAAGTGAAATGTGCAGCGAAACTCACTGGTTGCCAATGGATATAGCCATCAAAGCCACGGGCGGCTGGCAAGCAAAAGTGCAAATGTGTAAATGTGAAAATAAGAAATAAAATTGATAAACTGCAAATTATCATAGGAGTGCAAGGCTAAATTGCGCACTTTTACCGCCAACACCACAGCTTAATTAATAAACTAATCCAATAGGCGATGCCCCATCATTTGCAGCAGTAGCAGCAGCAATAAAAGATCTATTTGCTCATCTTGTTTATCATGAACACCAACTGACACTTTAAGAGGTTCTTTCGAGTCTGCAGCGTGAGCTAAATGCAGACAACAGCAGCATTTTATTGCCTCACACGGATTTGGGAAAATAAATGCAAATAAAATAAAATAAACAAGATCTGGTGATTGCCGCACGTCATTAAGTGAGTGCATAATTTATTTAGCGCTGCAAGTTAAGCTAATAAGTTAAGAGCTAGCGCGAAGCGGTAAAGTAGTGGGGTAAGAAAGACGAAAGACTTGCGGCAATTTATCGCATTAAGGGGGAAGAAGAAATTAAAAAAAAAGGAATTGGAATTTGTAGACTAAATTAAAATTTAATAAAATACGCGTCTGTGACTAAGAAAGGGTAAACTTTGCAGGAGATTGCAGAAATGAGTTGAAGATTCATCAAAAAGTAATTGTGAAAGGTTATAAGAGGATTTTAATTAAAGAAATTTCATCTCATGTGTGAAGTTTCAAAAAAATCGTTCTTTTTTCATATTTCGGTAGATTACACCTTTGAAAATAACATATTAAAATTTCAAATCGATATCCCCAATAGTTTTTGAGTTATATCAATGTAAAGAGCAGCCGCTGGCCGACTAGAGAGTCTCATTAGCTATGAGTGAAAACGATCATTTTATCTTTAAACGCGTTTTTCTCGAAACATCATTTTCCGAATTTGCTGCAGTGATTACTCAAAAACAAATGATCCGATCATTATGGAGTTTTTTTTATATGTTCTATACATATATAGTTCTCCGTACAATGACCTGTCGGTTTTTGATCTGATCAAAAAATCGAATTTCGCCAAGCCCAAAACGACCAAAACGTTGGGTAAAATTCGACTTAATTTTTTAAAACGCCGCCATATTGAGTTTTTTTAGTAGAGTTTTTTTTTTAGATTTCATCGACGGAGAAGTCCGGAATCACTGCAGCAGTGAAGGACCTTTTTTCGCGCCGTTGGAGATCGACTATAACTTAAAAAATATTTAATTTTTTTCTTCAAAAATTTCAATGTATATTTTTAAAACATGTATTAATTTATTCTTAGAATTTTGAAATAATTGATAAAGTATTTTTAATTTAATAATAGATCCCAAAACTCACGTTTTTCAGGCCATTACACTAGGTGTGCCTCTTAAGTATTGGAGGATGAGAAAAGTTTCTGACAATTTTTTTTTACATTAAGAAAATGTAGTTAAATTAGTTTTGAAATATTTAAAAAGAAACTTCAAATCTTTTAATACAAAACAGTCCATACTTGGAAATTTTGTGAGAAGCTTTTTATTTCATATCAGAAATTTACTCGTAAGGGCTGAGAGGAGATCGAATGAGAAACTTTATTTTTAAAATTATTTTTCTATAATTTATTCGAGGACCCGGCTTCTGTAGTTGCCAGACAGAGTAGACGGATTAACATCTTTGATTCATTTAGCTATTATTGAAATACCTAAACACTCCGACTAATGAAAGAAAGATAAAAGAACCAATTAACTGATACAGCTACCTAGGCTGGCTTTAAAGTATACCACTTTGCTGTCTGTCGAGATAATTTTTGAAAATATTTTCGACTGTGTAGCTACAAAGGCGACATCAATTCAGTGTTTCAAGTTATGAGTAGTATATCGATGATTGGCGTGATACTTATCCTAACGGCAGCGAGGCAGCCAGTTGACATTTCCGTTTCGGTTTCGAACACAGTGCGCAAATTATCGATTGCAACATTGGCTGTGTGGCACATAGCATTGCCCTCAATCGGCCTTAGATAGTAACGATAGCTCGTTCCCTTGGTCCACATGCCGCACCGGTTGATATAATCGCTCAGCAGAGATTGTAATTCGAGAGAGACCATGGATCGGTTTTACACCACATTTACTCTAGTGGATACGATGTATCCTCAGAGGTGCAATAGAGTGCGCACTGAAGATGATATTGCTGCTGCAGAGCAGAATATCGAAGAAGACCCAAATGAGTCCATCCATAAACGAGCGCAATAAATGGAACTCTACTCAAACACTTTATAAAAGATTTTGCGGAAGGGTCTTGGTTTGCGGGGTTACAAAATCCAACTCGTGTATATTTCTTTGAGCGATTTTTGGCCGAGCTGCTGCTCAAATTTTCGGTATGCGTCTTGATGTTTTCCGAGCCGCCTTCCAAAGGCCGAAAGGTTTATATGAGGAGCTTTTTTATACACTTGCAAGGCTTGACAGTACTTGAAGAGTTGCTCGAAGCAGGACTCGAACCCTGACATGCAAAAGTGGTAGTACGCAATGCTAGCCACTAGCTTATCGCGGCAGCAACATTCTCAAAATGTTCAATGTATAGTGTGTTCTATGGACAGTTGAAATCTATGGTTAGGATTTATTTTCAAATGAAGCCGGTCTAAATGTTTTAAGGTCAATGGGGAATGCTAGACAATAATTATTAATGACTCTTCCTGCCTTAATTGGGCTATGTTGATGTGCCTTGGGCTTTTGTTCCAAGACGACGGCGCTACAAGTCATACAACCAACGAATGAAGCAATTTCTTGAATTTTCTGGAGAGCACATTACTTTGAGTCATAGGCCTGTGGCATGGCTTCCAAAATGGGTGAGCTATTTATTGTGAGGTTATGTGAAGCCGCTTGCCTTCGCAGATACGATCGATGTGTTGGACGCCTCGGGAAAGAATATTTGGCGCGTTATTACTGACATATGTACGTCTCTAATCGCTGTAAAAAGTGGTCGAAAATTTGGTCTATTTTTGGCTGGATTTTTTTCAGTTGATTTTTCTTGAACGCCACATGTCCAGAGGTATACCCTTTATTTATTTAAAATAGCCTTATGATTGGGTTAAATCTTTTTTAAAATGTTTGAGCTTTTTCAAGCTTTGCGAGTTTTAAATTTATTCAAGGCGAAGTCAAGGCGAATTTACAGAAGGTGAAGTTGTCCCATCATATGATAGCTTGTTCTTCCTTCCATTTCAAAAAAATTACACAAACAAAATACGTGAGAAAAAGGTCTTGGCATTTCGAACGTTCGTTTACACAAACAAAATACCTAGGCTTTTTGTTTTTGTATTGCTGCTACTACTGTATGTGAGTTTGCCTTGGGCGAAGTGAAAAACTGATTGAAATGCTAAAGAAGTTTTGACAAACAATTTTAAAAATTGAAAAATTTCAAAAAAAATATTTGATTGCCGTCGAACAACGAACGAGTATCGAGCAAAGATATCTAGAGCTCTTACATAGGTACATATGTACATCAATTTTATATAAAAAACCCGACTCACCTCTTTTTAACCACAGCAATTATTGTCGTAAAATGATGACCATTTGTATGACGTATTGATCTAAAGAAAATAAAAACACAACACAAATGAGCATTAATCAATTGAAGGAAACGAAAGAAATGCAAGGGAAAATGCATTAAAGTCAGCTATTGTACAATCTCGCTGAAGCGCACAAGTCAAGGCTGCTGCGGAGCGAGTATGAGCGAGCTTACTACACCGCGAGCAATTGTGAACATACATATTACTGTTATATAATACATACATATTATCGTTTTGTTCAAGCAACTCCTACTGCCACCCAACTGCCTTGACGAGCGCTCATGGCTCCACTCACTCACTCACTCACCTGGCTATATACTCAGCATCCAAATGTTTTGTGGAGCGTGCATCGATTATAATCAAATGATAAAACTCCTCACTTGTGCTGGAGAGCGTCTCGAGAGCGCCCTCTTTTGTACGCGCCACCGTCACATCGAGCTGTTGCCGATGACATGCCTCCGTGACCACTTCGCAGATATTGTCCGACTTGTGGAAAACCAATAGAGCCTGCCGAGCGTTAAGAATGATAATGGAGAGTGGGAGGAAGAAATTTTTGTAAAAATAATTATTTAAATTAGAAGAAATAGTTTGACTTTTGTAGTTTGAGGTTAGTTCTAGGAAGTGCGTAACAAAATGCTTGGACATTGACTCACCTTGAGTTGGGGATTCGGTGGTAATACGGTTGGAAATTTTACGTCCATGAGAGAGCGCTGTAAAAAAAGCGAACAAGAACAAGAGAAAAGGTGTTATTTTAAGTGAAATAATTTGCGTGGTAAAGAAATTCTTTTGAAGAAATTTTTGTTTTTAGCAACACTTTTTTTAATTCTCTTTTGTTTTCTATACATCATCAGCTGCCGAAGGGATACCCTATGTGCACACGTCTGAGCATTATGTATGTATTTCGTTTTGTGTTGGTTTAGTTTAAAGCACACTTTGGTAACAAAATACCACACAAATTGAATTCGGTATCATGGTAAATCCATTTAGTTTACGAGGCTCGTAGTTTAAGTTACCCATTTAGAAAAGCTTTTAGCAGAGAATCAAAGAGTAGCGGGGATAAAGTAAGACATTGCAAATTTACACACATAAATACACATACATGTGGTTTTATTTTTTTTTTTTTTAAGTAAAAGGATATATTTTTAGTTAGTCAGTGCATAAATTATTGTATTTGTTGTCATGCTGACATTTTATACGAAGATAAATTATAAGTTCATAGCGTCGGTTTAGACGCTCCCGCTTTTCTGCTGCTGCTTTGGCTTGGCGTATGGTCAATGAATGGTGACTAAGTGATTTTTATTTGAAATTACAGCGAGCAGCTGAAAACGAATGAGTTTATTGTAATTTTGAATGCTTGAAGAGATTTTTGGATTATTTAAGGAAATGTTTGACAAGGAATTATGAAAGACTACAAAATAATGATAAATATTTAGTCATCAGAAGATTTTTTTTTTCTATAAATAATAATAAATTTAAAAATTTGAAAATAAAAAAAAAATATTTTTCTTAAAACTATAATTTTGAAAAATTTTTTATAGAGTTACCAACTAGTTAAAAAAAATTTAAATTTTTTCCTATAACCATTAATTTGAACAACATGAGGTAGAGTTGCTGACTAATTGGCAAAATTAAACAAAAAATTATCTTACAAACAATAAATTTGAAAAATTTGATATTGAGTGGTCAACTAATTCGAAGAATTAAAAAATATATATAATATTTGCTTATATTAATTTCAAAAACTTCATATAAAGCTGCCAATTATTAAAAATAATTATAAAAAAGGAGTTTTTCTTGTAACTATTAATTCGAAAATTCGTTACAGAGTCGCCAATTATTTCGAAAAATTAAAAAAAAATATATATATTATCTTAAAACCATTATTTCGGAAAATTTTATCTTGAGTTGCCAAATCATTAACAAAAATTAAAAGTCTTTCTTTTAGCCATTAATTTGAAAACTTTGATGTAGAGTTGCCGACTAATTCCCAAACTTAAATAAAAAGATAATTTTTCTTAAAAGCAATAACTTTTTAAAACTGATACTGAGTTGCCAGCTGGAATATTAAAGAAAGATTTTATCTTATGATCATTTTTTTTTGAAAATTATGATATAGAGTTGACAACTAGTTAAAAAAATTAAGAGAAAAGATTTTCTTATAATTATAATTTTGAAAATTTGACGTAGAGTTGCCAATTGCCAAGCAATTAAATACAGAGTCGCCAACTTGTTCGAAAAATAAAGACAATTTAAAAAACTTTTACAGCAATTAATTTGAAAACTTAAATATAGTGTTGCCAACTGTTTTGAAAAATTAAATAAAAACAGTCAATGGTGAGTATTGAGCAATCAAATAAATTTCTTATAGCTATTGGTTTGAAAAATTAAATCTATTTTTGCCAACTAATTGGAAAAATTAAAAAAAAAAAAATTTGTAGCCATTAAGTTGAAAAATTTGATGAGGGGTGCCCAATTAATTCTAAAAATTGAATAAAAACAGAAAATGGCGTGTATTAAGCTAAAAATTAGTGTAAAACTAATTTGAAAGTTTAAGAAAAAAATTTACAGCCATTACTTCTAAAAATTAAATAAAAATAAAATTATTTCAAAACTTGAATATAGAGTTACCATCTCAGTCGAAAAATAAAAAAAAAATATTAAAGCCATAATTACGGAAAAAAAATCATACAAAAAATTAAAAAAAATAGCCAATGGTTAATATTAAGTTACCAAATGAGTTTTTCTTTTAGCCATTAATTTGAATAATTTTATATAGAGTTGCCAACCATTAAAACAATAAAAATAAAGAATTTAAAAAATTAAAAACTTAATTTTTGCTGATAGGGACAAGTGTGTCTATGAGCGAGGCATAATGGTATTGCCTTCAAAATGGCAAAAAGTTATAGAGAAAAACGGTGCATAACGGTGTAACATAAATCGGATAATTCTATCTTTTAATAGACTTAATATCTTATATATAGATTCAAGTCGCACAGCAGATTGAAGCTAACGAATTGCGAATATTATTATAAATATAAATATTTAAGTTACATCACACATTTACATCTGCACAAGTTGGCAGTTACTTTTGACTAACAAAAATATTTCTTTGATATTTTTAACTTTTGAACTTTTTAGCTTTTCAACTCGTATCTTTTTACTCCAACAATACCTGTTCATATACCCATTGTAATAAATTGTATGCGTACATGAAGAATGCATGATGTTCATTAAAATGTACTGCTATTTATATTTTTCAATAAAAAATATTAATTTTCTTCTTCATTTCAAGAGTGAAAATCAAATTGCCTTTATTACCTTCATTTTTATATGTACATACGCACATTTTTGTGTATGAATATTCGTACCAGAAAATATTTCTGAAACATTGTGAATATGACGCGCACTTTGCGGGTAGAAATTTGCTTATGGAAAACTCTTCTACTGGGTATATAAATACTTTTTTTTTTAAACATAAACTTGCTATATATAATTTAGTCTACTCTTCTCTTACAAACTTTTTGACCATATTTTGTTTTAGCACAATTTTCACTACACCCATTAAATTTATTAAAAGTTTTGCAGCCACCCTAAATCAGTTGAGTGAGTTTCCCTTATAAAAAATGAGAGTAAATAAGTTGAGTAGCCAGCTATAACAAAGAAAAAGGAACAACAAATTTAAAAAAAATCGATTAAAGTGTATTCTACACATTTTTTTAACGTCGTTAAGCGTTGAACGTTTTTAATCTCACTTTACACTTACACCCCCACCCACTGCTTGAGTTCAGTGCGCTTGGATTTCGCTCTTTTTAGGGTAATGATTTTAAAATTAATTTTTTTTCTCTTCATTTTTTCATTTCCTTATGCTTGACGTGTATAGTCGCTTGTTTTTGGGGTGCGCCAAATATTTAAATGAATTTAAATTACTACTTTCTTTCCGCCATGTAAGGTGTTTTTAGAGTAGGAGTAGAGTAATAATCTAGATGTGACAGTTGGGAGATTATTAACATATGCTATGATTGAGTTTTAATGTTCACAATTCATACTGAAAATAAATTCTTTAAGGAAAATAGATTTTTTCATAAGCCTTTGCGCCGGTCTAATTTCAATCACATCTATAAAGCGTTTCATAAAGTACGCAGTTTTTAATTTTAATGTTCGAAATGCGGTAGTGCAAGACAGTATGAATGTGAGCGCTATGTAGTCAACGATCGGATGACTGCCTGCAGAGAAAGTGGCGGTGGACATTGCTCGATATCATTTTTCATTATTAAATTGGAGTATATGTTGAATGAAATTAAATAAAAATTTTGAATTTTTCATCGATTTTGGCATATTAGGATACCATGACGTATGAGTAACATATTTTCTTTTAAGCTGTAGAGAGTGTTTTTGTTCAGACATGTGGTTTTCAAGAACCAATAAAACTCATATAATAAAGAACTTAGCTCTATTATAATAAAAAGGGTGTGCTTTTATATTTTAAAAAGGATTTCGGGCAAGTAACGGCCGCGACTGACTCGAATGAATTCCGACTGAGAGGATCAATTTTCGAGCAATTTATGCAGCAATTGCGGTCGTCTGTCAGCAGTAACGCGTCGAATATTCTCTTCCAATTCGTCAATTGTCTCGAACTTATCTGCATGGACAAGCCATTTCACTCAATCCTACAAAAAATAGTTCAGTGGTGTTAAATCGTCCAATATTAGAGGCCCACGAAGCGGTATAATGCGTTCACTAAAAGTTTCTTTAGTAAATTAAACGTTTCATTGATGATCACTTCAAATGCGACAATTTTGTATATTAACGTATCCATTCAACCTGAGGTGATCTTCATCATTTTATTGTGACAATCGGTTATCTTATTTTGGACCATTTCACCGACTGCGCAATGCGCTTGATGGTCGCCTGGCTACAAGCGCTCAAAATCATCCTTAAAGCGGATGGGCATAACTCAGTAAATTGGTCAATAGACACTGCTGTGGATGAAGAAGAGCCAGGCAATCATCCAACAGAATTTTTTGAACTCTGCGGAGTTAGCGAGAGCCTCAACGCACATATTAAATGTAAAATTCGGGGTACTGCTTTAAATTCTTCCTAATTTTGAGAATGAAAGGCCTGCAATATATAATTAGACTTCGTCGCATCGCTATTGTTCCACTCGATACTCTTTTTCAAGTGTCTACAGTTCCCTGATCCTGACTTTCGTTTGCAATTACTATCAATAAAGCTCAAAGTCAATCTATGCTCTGTAAATTGTATGTTGCATGTTCCAGAGTTGACAGCCCAGATAAGCTGTCTATTTGCCAGACAGTTGGTACACACTAAATTTTTGTATACAGAATTGTAACAAAATATTTCATTTTTCAAACATTCAATGAGTATGTTGCAGGATAAAGCTGGTAAATTTATATTAATTTAAAATAGTCTACTCTGAGGCGCTCATGAGAATATTTTTAACAATATTTTGCATAATATTTAACTGCCAAAAATTAATTTCTTCCATCGAGTTGATCTTTTTTTTCATTTATCATTCATTTGAGCGCTTTCCATGCGTGTCAGTTTGCGCAACACCTTTAAGTTTTATAAATCCATTCGAAAAGTTTCAATTTAAATGCATTCGTATTAAGTTTGACAGCTACACCTTAGCACTAAATCCTTACAAAATCTTACATTGTCAATTTCACCCTCCAAAAAAAGGTGAAATTTT